AAAGCTAGCGATCTGAAACTCTCACACTCGTCCTAAAACATGTGTACGCAGATCAAGTTTGAAAATCGCTCCGATCGGATATCCTATAGCTCCCATAGGAACAATCGGATATATCTTGCAAGAATTGATGATATTTCGCGCAGTGTAAAAGCTATTGAAATGAATCTTTCCAAATCGTATTTTTTTATGCATACCTTGATTAGGGTAAAAGCGCGTGACGATCGGACGTCTATATACTATAGCTATACTTTTTCATTTTTATCAATTTCGGCAAAGTCTGCAAGGGTATTAAAACTTCGGCTTGCCGAAGTTAGCTTCCGTCCTCGTTAAATTTGTTTATCCTTTTTTACCCTTGCAGAGGGTATTGTAGTTTCAGACAAAAGTTTGCAACGCTGTTAAGGAGACATTTCCGACCCTATACATTATATATCTTCTTGATCAGCATTACCAGTAGAGTCGATTTAGCCATGTCCGTCTGTCCGTCCATCTGTCCGTCCGTCTGTACGTCCGTCCGTTTCTAGGCAAACTAGTCCCTCAGTTTTAAAGCTATCCCAAAATTTATCTTTCTATTGCAGCTAGTATAAAAGTCGGGCCCGACCCGGATCGGGCGAATATATCATATAGCTTACAAATTTTAAAAAGTATAACTTTGTTGTTCTTAATTTTTTTGTTCTTTGTGATTTGGTAATATTTAAATACTATGAAATTACGGTTTCAATTAAATTAGAATCGGACATCTATATCATATAGCTCCCAAAGAAAAAAAAAATTATAAAAATAGTATTTTTTGTGATTTTTTATTACTTTGAGATAAAGTAATTATTTACTATATAAAAATTATGCTTTTAGTTTTGTCAAAATCGGACAACATATCAGTAGCTGCGATTGATGAGATGGCAAAATGTAGCGCAAGCTCGACATATCTTTATTGTTTTTAGTAATATTGACATAGAAATTGAAATGTAGTTGTTTTGTAATAACTGCAAGGGTATATAAACTTCGGCTTGCCGAAGTTAACTTCCTACCTTGTTTATTAAAGCTTTTATTGAATACTGCAAATCTTTATTGAACCGTTTCTCGATAGTATAAAATAAGACTGGGCCAGTTAAGCTACTTATTTTATTCCTAAATTAAATTTATGTTTTTTGAGGTAGATTCTTCATAAAACTTTTGAAGTAAAACGAAGGTCGCAACAAATTCCCAGGGTAAGACTTTTGAGTCACGAGCCGAATATTCAAAGAAATTCTGTTTAGCCATATTAAATCCCGCCAGAGAAGATTATGCAGCATTTATGATGTCATGTCGTCGAAATGAAGTTTCGGTTGTTTTTTGAGCTTGAGTCTGTATTTTGTTTTGTTGTTTATCAGCATCTGGATATCGGCTCGGCAAGCGCAGCGGCCTTTTTGAACGCATTTCATTAGCGGCTATATATATGCTTATGTGCAGGCTTTGTGTATATTATATGGGTATAGTTGTCTGAGCGGTGTCTGCATTCACAACCGGTGCGGCTGTCTTCGCACCGGCTTGCCTTTTGTTTGTTTTTTATATATAAAAGATATAGCATTAAGAGTGTGTACATACACATACATCACTCTCCTTCGGCCTGAGCGAGTCTGCATTTAAATGCATTTTGTGTATATATTACACGCTGCATGCGGTGGACTTGCTTCACTTTTACTTTCATATGCAACTGGTTGCTAGCTGCCCCAATGGGGAAGTGTTGCCCGGGTGTGGGCACTGTTTTTCTCAGTGAGTGCCTTGTTTTTGTCGCAGTCCCTGGCTGCAATGGAAACAGTTTCTAAAGTGATTGTCAATCATTTTTGGTGGCATGTCGCTTGGCCGCTTTGACAATAAACGGCAGCAGCCCCAGCAACAAAAAAAACTCCACAATAGCAGCTGCTACACATTTTTCTAGGCTTGGGCCACGTTCGTTGGCCATATGATTTGTACTTGTGTTGGGTCAATTAAGCCGCGTTAGTCTTTATATATTGCGAAATATCAATGTTTAACGGTATGGCGAAAACAAAATAAAAAGTTTTAAAGTTGCATTTTGGGTTAGTTACCGAAAAAATTGAATTCTTAAGAACTTTTCTTGCGTAATATATGTAAAAGCACTAGTTGATGAGAAAATATAAATCCAATGCTCTCGAAAAAATAAATCCGATTTTATCAACCTTTTCACTTAATAAATGTTGGAAGCCCAACTCCTCTTATGCCTCGCTTATTTATCGTATTTCCTGCCTTGATTTATTTGACTTTAATCATCCAATAATAAACAATCAAATTTAGACCAAACAAAAGAAACCCAAAAATGAAGCCGAAAAATATTGACGTAATATTTGGCATCGGTGCACAGCCAATTGGTTAAATGCTTTTAGTGAACTAATAGGAAAACTAAGTCAATTTAATGGGACCGACTTTGTTTCTTTTATTTCGGTCTTTTGAAACAGACTCGAATAGAGATTAACTTGAAAGAGATTTCGGGTGGTTTCATGGCCGTAGCTTGGCCAACTCTCTTTTAATTTTATCATGAAATTTTCATGTGTAGCTCGAATGAAGACATTACAAACAAAAAAACTAGTGGAAAAACGAACTGCAAAACTTTGCCGCTCTCATGTATACATGCAATGGCATCCGAAAACTTCATTTTTCGCGTTTTTATATAATGTGGAAATGACTTTTGGATTTGATTCGGCTAATTTCGAATAAAATTTCGAGTTTCTATGTAGATTGTGCTCTTAATTAAGCCAATTATTATTGAACAACTTTCGCTGCTCCTCGTCTCCTATCACATTGCATGCGAATGGGTAAAACAAATCACACAAGTATCGGGTTTACCAATTCCAGTGATGGGGGAAGTGGGTGCTTATGGTTGCTGCCTTTTGATAAACCAAAAATGATTAGTTAACTTGATATGAAGGCTATTTAATAGTAGCTACTTCGAACCCAAAAAATCAACACCTTTTCAAACGGTCTTTAACATAAAATTGGGGCTTACATATTATATTTGTTTCATTATGTCATTTTGAATTATTATTTGTTAAGATATAAACCCCTTCCGATTTTAGTTTATGCGACATTTTTAAAATCCTTGTTTTAAAATAAATAAAATTAACACATTTTTCAGCGATTGAAATTGCATTACCATTAAAGTAAAGATTCATGATGCTTTGAAAGTTGACAAAATTATTAAAACACTCTTTCTTTGGTTTTTATTAATCTTGTCACTGATCAAGAGGTTTTTTATTTATACCCTTGCAGAGGGTATTATAATTTCAGTCAAAAGTTTGCAATGCAGTGAAGGAGACATTTTCTGAGTAAAGTTGCATTCTAAATTTTATCTTTTCATGTTTTTCTTGTATTTTGTTCTCGGCAGCAGCAGTCTCTCAATGACAGTGCGATAAGCCTAAGAAAAAGAGAAAAACAAAGACACAATGCAACTTTGGCCGTGTTTGTGCAACACCAAAAGCGCATTCTGCATTATTCTTTTATGTTTGCATTTTAATATATGCAACCACAAGAGCAGCCTCAATAACAAAGAAACTCTGTGCACATTTGATACATTTTGACGTCTGCGAGTTGCGTTGAGTTGGATTGGATTTGAGTGGTGCGAGTTCTTTGAACACACATTTCCTAACTAGTGCCATTGATGTGTGCTGACGGTTTCTGGGCGCGTCTCCAAACTCAAGTTTTGGATTGGTATTTGCATCGATGGCATTTGATGGCGGTGAATCAGTGATCGGTGGATTAGTTATTTTGGGGAGCAGCTCCGTAGATAAGACCTTGGGAATGCCGGTTATTTTTATGTGCGTTCACTGATAGAAGGCGGAATTTCCTGTACATGTCTGGTTTTATTTAAATTCTCATTAATAATTCATTTGAAAAGTAAAATTTATAATATTACAATATCAATTGAAAATGCAATGTACCTACATACATGTGATTTTCCAGTCCAACTGCATTAACTAATTGAGTGAAATTATTATTTTTTTACCTATCTATATATACATATAATGAAAATTACTTAAATCGGACCTGATCTTGTAGTCGAGGCTCTAGCTAAAAGATGTAAGCGGTTTTTATTAATTCATTTCATTTTTAATAATTAAATTAATACATCTCTTGATTTATACAGTTATGCAATCTAACGTAATTTAACTAAAGACTTTAATATTGGGAAAACTCTTAAAAATATTTATTTCTTTTGACCTTAAATAAAGGTTTGTTTTTCTAAAGGTTTCTTGTCAATTTTAGTTTAAACTAACTATTTGCCCCTGCAGGTCAACATTCCATTTGTATAGATATAATTTTCATCAGTGTTTGAGAATGGTTCAGATTTCCTATTATCATTTAATCAAAATTACGGAGGACCATCAAAAAGTAAGAAGGGACCAATGCATCTATGAAGAAAAGCATGGGCTTAATCCCATTGGACTTTTGTGCTCTTTCAGCGAGTGGGACAATGAAGTAGAAAAAGAAGGAAATCGAAGCGCGGACCAAAACCGTAGGCGTAATCGGAACAATGAATGCCAACTCGACTTGTCTTGGGGTTTCCAATGAGATTGAGTTCTTCGCCAGCCAATTGGACAGTTCAAATAGTTCGCTGAGTTCACTTGTCAAGGAATTGACTATTGCAGTTGCCTTGCCTTGCCTTGCCAAAAAAACCGAGTCTTGTGTATGCATCATGGTCGTCTTGTTTCGGATCCGTCGACTCCGGAGAGGGTCTTTCGTACACCCACATGGCCAGAAACCGAAACAGAAACAGAAACAGCCTAGACACACCTGAGTGTGGGTGAGAGCGAGCGTTCAACCAGGGGTATTATGTATTACGACTCTCTCACCTGTTGGGCTCAGCTGACGGGGAGAAAAGGCCAACTCGGTTGGCCGGAGAGGAAACCAGTTACCTGTTGGCCGCCCGCAGACCGTGGTGAGTTGGCAACGCTTCCAGCCCAGATCCCAAGTCCATGCCGCCAGAGAGATCAGTTGGTGGTCGTGCTTGAGACGGAGCGGTTGGCCGTGTGCGATCGTACTATTTACCTCAGCTAACGTATTCCCCGCGCCGCCCACAAACGTGGCCAGATAAGAAGATATTGCCTTTTTCTCGCCGGGTTGGTGCTAATCTTCGATTTGAGTGTGCCTGTGTGCGTGTGTGCTTTATGCAAATCTTTGCTTTCTTATTGAACAAACACGAGATCTGGAAGTGAAATATACGGCCTGAAAGAAAGAGAACCACGAGCGAAAACATTCCATTGAAAATACCAAAAACAAGTTTTCCCCTCCAACTCCGAACCGCTTTATTCGATGTTTGCTTTCTGCCATTTGCCATTTCTACATAAAAGGAGTGAGAGTGAAATGCGAAATGTCAGTGCAGATAGCCACCAACTTTTACAATGACATCACTGGCCGTTAACTAAAACAAATATTAAGATTTCCAACCGAAATCGAATAAGTAGAACCGACTGCTGTCTAATTGCCTTGGAGCTAACTTGGCCAAAGAGGCTTTGAAGCGCATTCTGCGGTCTGCAGCCGTTTCCAGTTGCAGTTTCTGCTGCTGTCGTAGGAACCGGTTCAAATATTTTCGCTATCGCAATTTGGGTCTAAGGTTTTTGTTGCTGTCGTTGCATTATGGCGAATTGCATGAGCATCGACTGCCTTGCATATACATAGTATTTATTTCTCCTAGAGCCCAATTTGTTGCCTTTGTTTTCGGTATGCTGGTTTATTTGCCTAGTTTCCTATTTGAATGGTGAGAAGTAAACATTGTGCTAGTGGAGCTGCCAAAAGTTAAATATATTTAAGAGGTGCTTTGAGAGTTGGTTTGGAGTAGCAAATTTAAATAAAATATGATAAAAAAGAATTTCTTATCGTAAATCTTGACTGTTTTTTAAAATTTAAGACCTTTACAAAATAAACATAAGTTCTTTGAAGCAAAAGACTTGGGAAACGAACTGGCTTAAGAGTTGGCAGTGGAGGAGTTTATAATTTCACACTAAAAATGGCAATAATATGCATGACGTAAGAAATACTTCAGTATTCACTCAGTTTGGGATTTACTAAACAAGGTTTTCGCAAGATTACCTCCACACCCCCACCAATTCATTTAGAAATTGGGAAATTTCATCGAAAATTCCCCATAAATAAAATAAATAAATATAGCAGCCGATAAATAATGCAAGCTTTTCCAAGTTCCAAGGTAATATAAGCAACTTTCCAAGTTATTCGCTGGGTGATCTCACAAATCACTCAACAAATCGGTTGGCAAAATATAGACACTTGACACTTGAGGGATCGTTATTCAACCGACTTTCAACGGAAATGACAGCATTTGGGGTTACCAAACCAAACCAATGACAAATCACAGAAACCGCTGTCAGCAAATGTCGTGTGAAATTAAATAACCGCAAAAGAAAATCCAAAAACCAAAACTTAAACCTTAAAAGAGAAAACTAAATAATAACGAGTGTACAAAAGCCAGTAATGAGTTATCGGGAAGTTCGGAGATTTAAACTGACATGTAATTTTTGTAATTCCACATTTTATAGAAGATTACTATAGCCTAACAATAACAAGTGCAAACGTGTGAGAAAAATCGAAGAGAAAAAACAAAAAAGGAATAAAAAAATTAAGCAAAATGCAAACGTGTAGAAGAAGAAAAGCCTCCGGCGACACGGCCACGATCATGTGGAGTAGAATGTGCCTGGCCAGTCTCTGCGGATTACTGCTGCTTGGCATTCAAATTGAACACGCGGCGTCTGCCCCTGCAGGCGAGGATGCAGCGGCCACAACGATGCCACCTCTGGATACCACAACAGATGCCCCAGACGCTGCAACAACCACCGCAACTCCAGCAACACCAGCAACATTTGCCGTAGAACAAAGCATCGGCATCAGCAACAGCAGCAACAGCAACATAACCAACGAGGCAGCGGATGGTTCAACGACTTCGACGACTTCCACGACGACAACAACTGAGGCATCCGACAAATCGAATGCGGCCGAAACTGGTGAGTCTCGAAAGCCAAGCCAAAAGCCATGAAAATTATAGATGACGGTTAAGCGCGACGACGGCCGACTAGATGAGGCATCTCATCCCGATCTTTGGCCAGACACTTTAATCCCACCTCAACCGCGCTCTGGGCCGTAATCAAATATCGTTCTCTGGGCCACCAATTAACGCCGCGCCGGTGCGTGACTTCTGGTCCTCCCTTTTACCCATTCCGTTTCGATCTGTAAGCCATTTCTCCATAATTATTTTCCGATTCGGTTAAATGGAGCGAACAAGAGAAATTTCTTGTCGATTAATGGGTGGAAGAATATTTGGAGATACATATGAGCGGTTTCCTGTTGAATTACTTAGTTGATTGCGCCGGCGTATCAAAGTGAAAATATGAAAATGATCGTGCCCGAAGCTAAGTCAGAGTAACAGCTTCCTCAGGGAAAAAAGTGTTAATACATTTAAATTGTAATTTAATATGTTTTCGTCTAGGGAAATTCGATTATTTTTTACTCCTAGGCAAAAATATGCTTAAAATATGACTTCTTTTACTTTCATCAAAAAACAAAACAGTTTTTGAAAATATCGAAAATGTGTACAGTTACAGTTAAAGTAAAAATATTTTAAATAAATAAAAGAATATAAAATTCTTTATAACAATTTAACAATTCATACATAAAAACATTTTCGTATTTACTAAGAAAGAAAAAGGTTTGATACCTTGTTTTCAGATAAAATAAAAGTATAAATTAATTTCGGTCATTTATTTTAGATCATCTTATAATATATAGCTTTATAAAATCGCAAAAACAATTTTTGTAAACATTCTTTTCTATCGCAAAAGTAATAGGACCCATTGCACGGATTTTTGTCAAAAACAATCAAGTTTCGTAAAAGTGAGGTTCTTAATTTAATTGCCGATTTTTTTGTTGCATCAATTTCTTAAATAGCTTGTTTAATGTTAGTTAAACATCGTACTCTTCTTGTTGCAAGCACGCTCGTTAAAACTTCAATTGATTTTTCATTGTTTTGATACCTTTCCATCTTGTTTTATTGATGACTCGATAAAATGAGGCCTAGCCGGGCCACCCAGACCGACAGAAAAGGTTGTTGCCTTGGAAAATGGGAATTTATTGTTCAAAAGGGGACTGGCTTCTTTCTTGCTCTAAATGCCATGAGGAAGTTAATGAGATTTAACAGCAAACATTGGCCTGATGTTAAGGTAAACGTTCACAAATTACTCAATTTAAATGCAAAGCAGCCAGCTGCCATGACTCATGCCCTTAACCTACGTACCATAAGCAACTTTTGTTAAGTTTTGGGTAATTTTAGGAGTTGGCATATCTACGCCAACATGGAATGTATTTTCGTGGGAGCTAATTATAAAAAATGTGTACCTATGAAATTAGGCAGAAATCTTAAATAGCAATTAGTCATTGACAGAATTGATACATGAAACATCTACAAACTATGAGAAGACACCGCACCTGATTAGGTTTACAAATGGGTGTTTCAAGTGATGCAAGCTGTTAATTTATTAGGCGGTGAGTGGGTAGCTAGCGGATTTGGGTTTTAGATTATATAATTAAAACAAATACATATATTTACAAATCAATTATTGGGCAAGACTTTAGACAGTTGATTAACTGGTTTGTGTTACAGTTACAGCAACTTAAACAACTTTTTAAACGATTTACAAATATAGAAACAACACTAGGCAACACATAAATAACAAGGAATTAAATATATTAATTCATTTTCCTCAGATATTTAAAATACAAGTCCATGTCAATGCAGGCACCGTGTTTTCGGAATTTACCGCTTTTACCGACCTTTTCAGTCAACTTATTGTCTGAAAAACCCCAAGCCAATTGTTTACAAGTCACAGAAAAAAATACAAAAAACTAACACTAATGAGTTGGAAAATTGCACACCACAGCTGCCTGCAGTTGTACTTGAAAGTCGAGTACATAAATCATTTATGTTAATTTTCCGTTTTGCGGTCCCATTTGAGTGCTAAATTATGGCCTTGATATGGCGCGGGTAGAGATACAAAAAATGCAGAAAAAATCCTATTGAGCAATTTTCAATGCGTTGGCATTGCAAGTCAGGGACTGCACTCAAAATGGCTTGCCAAAAATAAATAAATATATTTATAGGTATGCACGAGGTCTTTTGCAAAAAATACGAATCACGAATATTATTAAATTCAATAACGTGTATCAGGATTGAAGAAACGACCTCAATTATCAGGCCAACTTGTCTTCTGCTCACTTTCATCAAGGGAAAATGTTAAGCAACAGAAACAAAAAAATGAAATAAAATACAAGTGCTGAGTGACCTGTTAGTATGTAGACTTGATTGTTTATTATTTTTACAAATCATAGCAAAGTGAAATTTACATATTTCTGGCACGATTGTCGTGAGTTTTGGTATTAAAAACAATCTGCACCATTTGAACTATGAGAAGCTGATAGGTTTTCGGATGACAATGTAACATTTATGCGAAATCATTACGTTTGCTAAAGGGAATATACTCGAATCAGAGGTACGATATATAGTTTGAGGCCTAAGTCTTTTATTTGCTGCGCCCATGTGAGCTTCTTCTCTCCTTTACCTTTCTGTTTATTTATATGGCTGTTGTTTTTCTGTTTCTTATTTATTCGCCCGCGTAACTAAGAAATTCGACGGAAAGAGGCAGGCAGACAAGACTTTTGTTTTCTCGAACCTTTCAAGGATACCAATTTCGGCAGAGTGTGAGAAATATTTTTGTGGAGGGTGTGGCAATTCGGTGCGTGATTTCTGACTTGAACTATACCTTTCGCTTTGGGGTTCATGCTCGATTAGCTTGCGAATTTCAGGCGACCGCTATAATGAACCGATAAGTAAAAGTAGCTTAGAAAAGGCTTTTCAACAGGCTAGCTTGAAAACACGTTGAGTGTTGTGTAGAGTGACAAATACAACAACACCACTCGATTGTTAATTGCCGGCCGTTAGCCGGTGGGCTTTTCGTTGCTGCTATTATTATGGCTTTGTACATTGACACTCAACTCAGCATCCAGTTTCGAGTTTTGCGAGGGGGACGCGTGAAAGTGCAGACAGAGACAATTAACTTTTTGACAGTAAGTATGGCTTTATAGATGTTTCGAACTTTAGCGTCGAAAAAATCACTTTTGGGCTTTGAACTTTGAGTGGGATTTCCAGGCTGGATTTGGCTTTCTCCTCCAACCGAACTCGTCAAAGCCCGCCATTCAACAGAACCAAACGGGTTAAGCAAGTGAAAACCCGGCCTGGCCTCTGTCTGAACTCAATCCTATTTATGTCAGGGGCGCAAATCAAAATACAGGCAAAAATTCAGTTCAATTGTAACTCGTTTAAAGTATGCATTAAGCAATGGCATCAATTCCACTTAGAGTATCATGCAATTCCCTCCCTGGTCTAGACATGCGTTGGCTGGCTTGCATTTTTTCAATTAGATAATTTTTATGTATCTTTTTCTCACATGTGTGCATTGAGAAAAATGTAGCACAGAAAGGCAGTGTGCGGCTAATTAATGCATTTTAATTGCGAATACTTAGTGGCCAAGTGAGTGTGTTGAGTGTGCTGAGCCAATTATCTGTGTCATTGAACGGTGCCGAGAGCGAGGGAACGTGGACAGGAAGTTCGAGCTTAGAGCGGGAGCCACAGATAAAAGAATGGGAATTAATTTAATTATATGTTATGAGTAATATCTACTGTTATTTGAGCTGAAAGACAAGCTAAGGGGAGTAATAGCTGTTTTCGATTTACTCGCTACGCAAGTACGCGGAAGTAAGAGCTAAATATCTTCATAAATGCTCATTATTAATCATCAGGAAGCATAAACTTTGCAGAAGGGTAACATCCAAAAGCTTTTATTTCGGGACTAAAATCTTGCTAACTAGTCTATAAAAATTGCGCTTAAACGAATATTAAAATCCTTGACAACTTATCGTTCTATCATCATTATCTGGCAATAGCATCGACCGACATCTCACTATTTGATTGCTGCCCCAATTTCCAACAATATATATAATATATCTTGGATTTGCTGGCTTGTGCCATTCGATTGACCTTCAATTTCCAACACACTTTGGCACTGGTTACAAATCAGCTAGTCAGCGGTACAATATCCACACACATGTCTGGCTTCAATTCCAATCCAAACTCCACTTCCAATTCGATTTCATGGCCGGCCAAGCAACTCGCATTTACTTGGCTAAAAGTGTGTGGTGTCATTCCATTGATATACAACTAGATCTGCAACTACACCAGTTAAGTGGCGTTGTGTTTAGTCATAGTGTTGTTTATATTTCTCTCAGAGGTCTTTGTCTCGGATCCTTCAGCTCGAACTCTAAATGGCCAGTGACACGCGCTCTTGGTAGTATTTGAAACGTGTTTTGTTTTACCCCGCGTGCGCCTCTTCTCCGCCAAATTCCACCCCTTTTTTTATCGGGTCAAACTAACTTTTTGTTGTTGCTAGTTGCACATGAACTTTCCAGTGGAAAAAGGTCAAATACTGGTTGAGAAATCATTTTGCCTTATTGCCAAACAGTTTAACTCGTCTTCCCCGTCTGCTTGGTAATGATATTGTTGAGACTGTTGTTTTTATAGGGCCGAAGAATGTTGCCTTATCGGAGATGCTCTTACATACCTGACTGACCAGCGGCCATTTGTTTGAGTTTGGGTATTCTTTGTGTTTTTTTATGTTTTCTCTCTCTAAGGGGTAAGGTCATTTTTATGTCATTAGGCAGATAGACAGGCCGATAAAACGCAATGAACTATTTGGGTAAGAAGCTAGTTCAGTTAACTGCAATTGAGATTGGTTTATGATAAAGGTGTGTATTTTATCCATTGTCCCCGTACAAACACAACAAAACCAGCTTTAAAAAAAAAACCGGAAATAAATCGTTCTTAAAATTATCACTTTGAGGTCTTCCGTCAAAAAATTGTATCCATGTATAATTTCAATTCAACATGCGCGCCATTGAAAGTTAACACTTCGTTTCACAAATTTCCATACTCGTCTTTTGTGGATCATCTTTCTGAACAAAGGCTGCCAATTTCATTAACATCAGCAAATTTCTAAAACAAATACAATAGTAAAACCTCCAAACGCTGGGCTTAATTAAAACAAAAATATAATCAAAATTAACACTCAAAAAGAAGAAAATGAATTCGAATGCAGGCAACATCAAAGATTGCGTAATCAAATCGACTTTGTTTATAATTCGAAACTAAAACCGGACCACAGCCAACAGCTGCATAATACGATTATATATATACTGTATATATGTACATATATCTTTGCATTCATGACACACTCTGAGGCATGACCGTTACATTGCCCAAACCCAAAAAGGTAAAACCTTTCCCGTCCCTTCCGATCGCTATAGCCCGTTTGATTTTGTTGACACTTTTTGCGCATTACAAAACTCGGCCAATAGAGTGATTGAGGGGGGATGGTGACAGGTTAGTGGGAATCAGAGGCGTGGGCATGGTCATTAGGCGGGGTTAATTTTGAAGCACGGCTTCCTGTTGGCCGTGTTCATTGATTCCACTACACCATGGGGCGTAATTATAGATACGGAAATTGGAAAAAATATATGAATAGAAAATCAAAATACGGAATTGCTGTAAGCTTATGGGTCTTACTTCAGTGGACAACTTTATTAAATATTGGTTTAAAAACAATGAAGTAATGTGGATTTTTTAATACATTTTTCAAACGTTCCTATGGCTGCTACATGGTCCTTTCTGTAGTCGAAGATTAAAAATTAATTTTTATAATCGTAAAAAACCTTTACATATTGAGTTATTTGCGTATTAGTTTCGACTTATATACTACAAAAAAGGCTTTTGAGAAAGTGTCTTTCAGATCATTTTAATACTAAGAGACTATTTTGCGTAAGAAACGGACGGACGGAGAAACTCTGTAAATCTTCTCAAACGAAACCTCTTGAACCGAATGATATGACCATGAAACCTTTTTATCATAGCATTTATCGCACATTTCAAGACATTACTGACTCTAGATCAATGGCAATGGTGCCCCCGAAGAACAACCACTATCCCACCTAACAAAGACATCCGGTTAGCATGCAACGCTTCATGGCAGCTTGTCAATTCTAAGCACATCACTTATGGGCTCCCCTTTGCCCCGTTCCACAACCCCAGCCCCAAAAGCGATCTCCCGCTCCCCTGACGAACTGTCTGTTCTGTTGTTTGTTTGCCGGAGCCGCAGAACGTGCTGCGACTTAGAAAAACCGCAAATGAGTTTAAACTACCGGACAGCAGTTTTGCATTTCTGCATAAGTGGCCTGTCCTCTGGTGATTGTTTGCGGTGCTGATGGTGGTTACCATTCGTTGTCGCATGCATATATATCAAAATCAAGCTAGCTGACCGGCTTAGTGTTGAGTCATAAACTATGCTAAACCAAAGGACCGGAAAGATTCGAGGCGAAGGAACCATAGCAGATACAGAAACTCAAGTTCGTTGTCTGAGTCTTTTGTATGCATTCAAAAAAGTTGGGCATAAAAACACAAGGCAAAAACTTGCATAACGGAAAGGCAGACCACCAAATAAGTCCCAACATTGCAGCATGTACCAGTCGGAAATATATTTATACATATCAGTGCAGACATAAATTGAAGAAGCCTGGACTCGCTTAACGAGTGCCAGTGAAAAAGAAAATCAATGACAGTAGAAGACAAATTGTGCGCCAAGTAAGAACGGACGAAACAAAAGGAGTGGGCGCACAAAGACCCTTGAACAGTTCGCGTATTATAAATGACTAGCCGTGACAGCAAACAGCCCGTCGAAGAGCCAGCAACTAAGAACCAAGAACCCAGCACCACAACTGCAATGGCAACCCTAGTGGAGCTCGAGATCGAGCTGGAGGCTGCCAGCCGCAAAGTAACGAAATAAAATTCAAGGTTCATGTCAGTAACCCTAAGCTCCAGTCCCTACACAACAATAAAAGCAACAGCTAAAACATAAAACACACACATAAAGATGTTCTCTGTATGTAGAAATCGGCTAGGGCCTCTTTCACCCATTCACTCTGTAGGCTAACGAACCGAACAGAGCTCTGCTAGGGTTATACCCTGCTTTAAAGAGGTGGATGCTCGGACTTAATTTGCGTTAAAACGCTTTCTAAAATGGTATATTGTTACACCTAAATAAATGTAGAATTACTTTCTGTATTACATTTTGTTCACTTATTTGGGACACCCAATTCAAACCATTTAAGAAATTCTGTTAATTTGTTTTACTAAACATATTTTTTTTAAGGGATTTGTTCAGTTTGAAATACCTATAAATCTCCATAGCCTTTAAATGTTCTTATGAAAAGTGTTGCTAAAAAGTGGCATCGCTTTTAACCTTCTTCCTAAGCAAGTTTTAATTCTAAAGAATTATTTTCCTCAGGAAAAGTCTATTTCTAAAAGCGCTCTAAAACTTGGATTCATCTAAAAATTCTTAGAGGGTATTTTCGTTTCGAGGTTTCTCAAGTTAAAAAAGATTTTTAGCGCTAAATTAACGTTCGTTGCATGCCGGCTCTGACTGCAAAACCGTCTTTGACTGTCTGACTGACTGACTGCCTGCAAGCGTCGAGTACCAAAGTAAATTTCATTTAAGTTCTCTTTTCTTATTGGAGCGACGACAACTGTTGCGTCTGCACCAGGTATCTGGGACTGTAGACTGTGGACTCGGGGCTAGGGACTAGGACTAGGGACTAGGGCTTAGGGACCCAGAATCCGGGACCGCTTTAATGCCTATTACCACGCATGCATGACAGTCGCACTCCCCTCCACCCACACTCCCGGTAGGCCTGTCTAGGCGGAGGACTTGACTGGGTAAATGCCGTCCCCATGGGGTCGCATTTTACTCCATTCCTATTCCTCGTCCCGCCATCGAAGTATTTTCTGAGTCAGTGATGTGCATGTGAGGTTGCTTACTATTCCAACTGGAAGATCGAGGGCTCGGGTTCGTTGAAAATTGCAGCTGAGCTATTTAGAAGTTATTACCGGAATGCGGCTGAAGACAGAATTTAAATGGAAGTTTTTGGAATTGTTTGACAGCCAGGGCAATCAAATATAATTATGTCTCAGCTAAATGATTATTGATTGACTATCTTATAAAATCTGAGCTTAAATTTGAAAGATCTGCTCTTAAGGGAAATGATTTCCCACCGATTAGATTCTTCAAAGCAGCACTAGCCTCTTCTTCACCATTTCCCATCCATGTGCAGCAATTAGTGATCAAGTTCAAGTTCCCATTAATGAATTAACTCTTAATTGAATGTTCCTGTGAATAGTATACAACTTGGGAAGAAACAATCTTGAGTCAGTTGGGCGAGTCAAGTGTTTTGTGTCCGTTTTATAAAACCAAACTTAAAGACCCCTTTCTAAGGTCGTGTTTTATTTATGCCATGAGTTTTGCGGCCCGAAACTAAGCCCGAAAAAATGTAATTATATAAGCGATGCCAGCCAAAAGGGAGAAAAGAAAATCACAAAGAACAACAAGTGGCCGGGCCCGACTGGGCTCACAAAAGAGCTTTACAAGCCAACCAACTCGAAAAAGAAGCAGGAAAGCCCAAGAGAAACAAGAATTATATCATAAAAGATGAGGCCTGGCTGATATTTTGGCCGGGGCTTGTCCACCCGGGTCTTCCGAGAATGGAGCGATGATTCAGCAGGCAGAAGACGCAGGCAGACGGAGCTTAATGAATGCCTTGCAGATTTTGAGGAATTGATGCTGCGGCAAAAACCGAGCCAAAAACAGAAATTACGTTTCAATGATGGCGTTGCCAATGCGAATTGCGGATGGCGATGATGATGAGACGCGTGAGATATTTCCAATACGATTTACGTGGTTTCCGCTAGAGTTGTGAAAGAATTCTGATCGCCAGTTACCGTAAATGTGGGACAAAGCCTTAGAGTTTGTTTACCCCACAAATGACTCAATTCCGTGCGACAATTAAGAAATCGGAAGGAATTCTTTGACCATATAATGTTTACTGTATTTAATAATAATATTAATTAAGCCTTAAAAGATACAACTTAGCCTCGCTGACCCGGTTTCCATTGCAATATTAACTTATTAACTACCGAAAGGAGTCGTAAAAATAGCATCAATTATTTTATTAACAATGTTTTGAGGGTTTTTCTGAGAACCTATGAGGAATAAATATCTATAAATGTTATTTAGTAAGTAGTTTGAAACGAAAAACACATATTCTGTAAACACCCAATAGATACTCTAGCCAATTAAAGTACGGGCGAAAAAACTTACCTTAGACATGTCCATTCAAATGAACGAATATGTCATTATAACGCAATTTTTTCAATAAGTTTAACGGAATACAACAAAAATTGAATTTAGATCTTTTTTTAGAAAATATTACAACATATTTGGTGTTTCATGATGAAAATTGGAATTTAACAATCATCAGTTTTCGTCAGCTTAATATTTTATATAATTATTCTTTAAAAATAACATAGATCAAACAAAATGAATCTGATTCAAATTCATAATTTTTAATTTTTTCAGAGTTTACCACAACGCTGCCAGTGCCGGACAGCGTGCCGAAGGAGACTAGCATGCGATCGACCAGCATTGAGCCCATCACCTCCACGGAGCCCACGACAACACCGCGCCAGGAGACCGAGAGACCCGACCAGCATCCGGTCTTCCCCAACACGGAACCAGATCAGAGCCATATCCAGCACATTCCTTTGCGGGACGAGCACGCGGAAAGCAGTGGCAGTGACGATGCCACCACCGAGATGCTGCGGGAGCATCAGCAGCTCGAGCAGGATCAGCAGCAAAATGAGCTGAATCAGATCTCCAACGAGCAGGACGATGTGGTCAAGGATCTCAACAATTTTCGGCATCCAGCCACGCTCATAACGGCCAGCAACAGCAACAGCGAGGAGAACGGCGAAATCGAAAGTGACAAACGAGTTGAGACAACGACGGCGGCAGCAACAACATCCACTGCGGCAACAGCAACAGGTACGCCAGCAACAGGTACGCCATCAACATCCAACAGTTCGACAGAGACCACAGTCCAGAGTGAGCGCGAAGAAGATCCCTATCATGTGCATATACTGTCCGAGAATCATGATCGCCTGGCCGAACACGAAGATTATCAAATGCTGTCGACCAGCACCGAGGAATCATCCACTGCAACTTCCACCACCACCACTACCAGCACCACAGAGTCGGGGATTGTGGCTGGTATTGTTGTCAGCCAGGAGAACAAGGCAACCGCTGAGCCATCAACTGAAACCGAGTCGACATCCACGTCCACAACAACAGCAGCAACTTTGGCTGCAACCACATCGCGAGCACGCGCCATGCATATGAATGAGCCAGAAAATGAATCGGCCACCACAATAATGCCGGACAGCGAGTCGGGGCCAGTGATTGCCATTGTCGAAGGACAACACATGCTGCAGCAGGAGCTGGAGGAGAAGAAGGAAGAAGAGGTGGCCAAGGAGCCGGAAAGCAGCTCCACCACTGAGGCCTCGACCACCACCACCGAGCCATCGCCATTCGTGGCCTTTGCCGGCGAGGGGCGGTCGGTGGGTGGCGGCGACGATGTGGAGCTGTTCCTGCACCACAATGCCAGTACGCACGAGCAGATCATGGATCTTAGTGATGTTAGCATGGACGGGGACCAGAACGAGAGCAGCAACAGCAACAACACCAGCACTAGCACCCCATCCACAACGACAACTGCCCAGCCAGAAACGGAAATGCCGAAAATTGTGGAAATCACCGCCAGCGGGGACACCATGCAGCGCGAGTGTTTGGCCGATAACAAGAGCTACAAGGTAAGTACAATTACAGCAAAAAAAAGTTAAACTACTTGGAACTTTGCTAAAATTAAGATACACAGGCAAGCAAAACTAAAATACCAAATTCAAGCAAAGTTTAAGAAAAGTTAAGCTTCAAGTAGTAACTTTATGTTAAGGGTTTGCCCGTCAGCGTAAATTTATTAGACTTTAACTTAAGTTACACTTTCAATCCTAGCAGCAACCTACAGAATGCCACTCAATTTTATTATATACAACCCAGCGATTAACAATCAAAATATATTGAAGAAAACCAAGTTGATATAAAATAAAAACATTTGTTTAAATCCAGTTTGACCAAAATGCCAAACTTTATGACAAGCGTTGTAAAATCAACATAGAATATATGTCATATCCTGACAAGGAGAGAAAGCTGTGGCCAACGCCTCCATTTCCCTGTCTGCCTGCCCACTTCCTGGCACGCAACTCCAATTTGCCTTGTCGTCACCTGGATTGCATAATGGCAACGAGTTTGGTGCTCATAATGAAACCGGTCACAGCCAGGCTCACTTCCAGCATCCAACGCAGCTGCTCTCTGCACTCAAAAAAACGACGAAAATATTTTTCGGTGAGCTTTTCCCGGCTGCTGCTCGCCCAAGCAGCAATTATGCAAATATTTGCGCACCTTAATATTAAGAGAAAAAGTCGCAAAAAGGCAAGTTGAGGAAGAAAATTCCAAGAAATTGCTGGGCTGTGATTGATGTTGACATCGCTTTTGTGGCTGGCATCGCCCAACCCAATCTGCGCGCCAATCGCAATTCCTAATTTCCAGCAATCATCATAACAATGTGTCAACTGCCGGCGTTTAAGATAAGTCATCAGACAAATTTATATAAATAAGAATGATTCGCCTGAACAGGGCACTCAGTGTCGCCTTATCTTTTAAATAATTAACAACCATCGGGCAATTTAAGTTTCAATAAATTGCTACACGCCTTTATGCGTCTGTCCAACTGTGACGTGTTCATCAAACGTTGCACTCGGTCTCTCCGTCTCGAATAATGGCGTCCAGACATGTGAGCCTCATATCTTGGGCTGCATCGGGTGTTTATATATGTTTTTCAGATAGGTGGATGTGGTTGGAGCAACGCCTGCAGCTCGCACTACTTACTGACCAACCCATTTTCTGATGCGATGCCTGAATCTGGGTGCTGATTTTGTTTTAATTAAACGAACGTTGGGTTTTTCTTTTTTATACTCTAACTTCAAGTGGGCTTATTTTCGGCAGGCCAAAGTTTATATAATCTAGCAGCCATAACTAAAATGCACTTTTATATATAGCGACCAGATATAAATTTGTATGGGTGTATGCTTTAAACAATTTCCTGACACATTTTCGATCTTTCCTACCCTTTAAAAGTGCATCCACACTTCGTTATTCTCCTCATCTTTTATTAATATCGGTTTTTCTTAATCTCTTAAATTGTTTGTGTTGTAGTTTTCATAATCGAGTTTGCGGTCCGATTCGATATGAAATAATTTTTGCTTTCACTTTTAATGAATTGTTGTCGGTGGCTGATCGACACTCCCCCTTCCACCTCCTCCTCACCCCTCCTACGTTTTTCTTTTATAAATTGCCATCGATTGGCGGACACGTGCAACATGCCAAGCCGCATGCCGCAAATGTTTTTCAAGTGAGCAGCCAAATAGCTAAGAAAATAATCAAATAAATTGCACACTTTACCGATTTTTTTCTGTTTTCCTTTTCAGTAGTTTATTGTGCCAAAGTGGGCGTTTTGGGGCGTTCGGCTTACTGTTTTAATGGACGCCAAGGCCCAAAAGTTCACAAGAATTGTGCTCATTTAGTGTCATTAAAGAAAGAGGGGAGGGAAATATGGCCCCCGACAGAGGGTCATTAAAATATTGCTGGCCTTAACAAAGGGGCGTGAATTCTTACACCTGAGAACCCAATAAACACTTCGGCAAACTCTGAAAACTATTCGCCAGGGGTTAATAAAAAGAATAATCTGCGGAGATTTTTTCCGCTTGAACAAAAGACTGTGGATGCGAACTTGTGTGGGATCCGTCAAAATATGACATATTTGGGTATTGGAGCACCACGCACAGAGCAGGAAATCTCAGCCCTGATTGCGTTCAGTCAACAAGCCGGATGATTGATGAGCTTCACTCTACTCACTTGTTAAGTTAGCTGTGCAAATTGACGTAATTTCAGCGCAAATAGCTTTCACACAGCGAAATGGAGGAAATGTATTTTGATAAAAAAATGTGGCTCAGTAGGTCGAATTTGATCATTACGGGTATAAATTGCGGTTGTTCTTGGTAATCAAATTCATGATTATTGTGGTAATTTAAAAATCTTTTAAGGTAGTGAAAGTTGAGATTATTTTGTGTAAGAAAATTAAGAAATAGGAAAGGAAAAAATACAAAGCATTTTGATTTCACTGAACTTAGACAAGTAGAAAAATAAAATATAAATTGTTGTCGTTAAGCCACAAGTATTAGTTTCTTATGGGACAGCGAATATTAAAGTCTACGATGTTAGAGTCATTTACATTGCTTACTAAATAACGTGCGAACCGGTACCAAAATGATGTTCCGATCATCCATTGAAAAGATTTTTAATTTTAAAGATTTGTAGTCAACAAAAATTAATGTTTACTTTGAAACCCAACAAATAGTCCTTCATTGTGGTAATATTACGGTCCAGCTCTCTACAATATGTTGAGTATTTGAAAGTGTACTTATTGAAGTATGAATTCTTAATTTAAATATTAAAGAGAACGTTAAATAATGTAAAAAGTCATCTTACATTACAACCGGTTAAAATTCTAAGACTGGAGAAAAATATCCGTTTTTTAAAATGACTATGTGTTACAATAGGTGTTGCAACTGTTACCTATTACCTTACATTTTATTGCAGCTTGAAAATAATTATTAAGACCGCCAGAGTTTAATCAAGGCAGCGTGATACTTAGAGATTTCTAAATATAAAGCTTAGATAAAACAAATGCAATGTTGAAGTGCTAGCATTGCTAGGTTGAAGTTTTAAAAATTGAAGTCGTTATAGGACATCTATAACTTAGAGCCAATTTTGTTATGAGAAAGGGGCTATAAATTTAAGAACTTGGACACTAATGCGTCACTTGATTTCACAGCACGGCGAGGTGATGGAACGGGAGTGCGACGAGCGGTGCACCTGCAACCGCGGCGACTGGATGTGCGAGCCGCGGTGCAAGGGCTTGAGTTATCCGCGCGGCAGCCAGCGCAGCATGGCCAATCCCAACTGCCGGGAGAAGACGGTGGAGGAGGACGAGTGCTGTCGGGTGATGGAATGCAGTGAGCCGCTGCTGGAGCCCACGGTGGTCGCCGCCGAGGGTGCGGGCCCCTCCACCGAGGGAACTGGAGAAGCTGGTGTGACCCTGCCCACGACCGACGACGAAGGTGAGTTGGATCGAATCTTTAAGGCAGCTGCAGAGGAGTTTGCTTTTTTGGCTTTGCTGTAGTCGTGGCTTGTATTGCATTCCCAAATCATCTCAACTTGGTTGGCCAAGCTTTCTAACATTTGCCGTGTTCTCTGTGCCCTCCATAAACATGTCCCATCCACGCTGCTCACGCCCATCGCTCATTGCCACCACCCACCACATTGCAGCCACACCCAAGCCGCGCAGTGATTGCCACCATATGGGCGGTGTCTACAAGTTCCGGGAGCGTCTGGAGATCGGTTGCGAGCAGATTTGCCACTGCGCCGAAGGTGGCGTTATGGACTGCAGGCCGCGATGCCCGGAGCGTAACCACACGCGTCTGGACAAGTGCGTGTTTGTGAAGGACCCGAAGGACGTGTGCTGCCAGCTGGAGCTGTGCGACGTCACCCTTGATGACCATGAGCAGCAGCCAACGCCGCTGCAGAGCAACACCAACGAGGATCCCGAGGATCAAAACCCCTTCGCCTTCCAGGAGCAGGGTCGCGATGCAGGCAGTGTTAAGCCCACGTGCACATTCAAGGGCGCCAAGTACGAAGTGGGCCAGCAGTTCCGCGACGGCTGCGATCAGTTGTGCATTTGCAACGAGCAGGGCATCCACTGTGCCAAGCTGGAATGCCCCTCGAACTTTGGCCTGGATGTCCAGGATCCGCACTGCATCCGTTGGGAACCGGTTCCGGCGGACTTCAAGCCCTCGCCCCCAAATTGCTGTCCGGAGAGCATGCGTTGCGTGGATAACGGCACGTGCAGTTATCAAGGTGTGCAGATCGAGAACTGGTCGCCTGTACCCGCTAACCTGACAGGTAAGATCGTGGCTTAGTCACCTCCATTCGCATCTCCCTCGATCATTTCCATCTCAATCATACAGGTTGCGATCAGAATTGCTATTGCGAAAACGGCCGTGTGGAGTGCCGGGCCGCTTGTTCGCCGGTACCGGCTCTTCCTCCCGCGGACCTGCCGTGCCATCCGGCCTTGGCCCGCCTGTTGCCCATTCCCGATGATGAGTGCTGCAAACAGTGGACTTGTGCTCCGCAAGTCCCGAAAATTGGAGCTGCGGGTCAGGAAGAGGAACAGGATGCCACGTCAACCCATTCCTCAATCCCAGCAAATGGTAAATAAACGCGCATGATAAGAACCCTTTCTTTTTGGACTTTGCATGCCATAACCAAGATCGCTTCATTTCTTTGAGCTTTGTCATCTCGAAATCATTTTCAGTTCGATTTGTTTGTTTTTAGTTTGTGTTCTATTATTTATGGATTTTTTTGCGCTTTGGCTAGTCTTATTTGAGTTATCTGCTGATATTTCCCTCACTTTTTATCACGCTGACATGCTACTTAATTTTGTTTTACTTTGTTTTTATTTTCTACGCTCATCACAACCAATTTCAATATTGTTATTCACGCTATGCATTTTGTAAATAATTAAATTACAAAAACAACCATCCAACATGCAACCGATAACAGAAACCACAACAACGACAGCGACAGCAACCACATCGACCAGTACAACTAGCAAGGTACTTCTAACCAAGAAGGATGAGGATAAAAAGTCATCGCCAAGCAGCGCCTTTTATCCCACCTTGGATGGCAAGCCACCAAAGGCGATTGGTGGTCTTGGGATCTTTGAAAAGCCGGAGAAACACGAAAAGGGGCACAAGAAGGTGCAGCATCAACAGCAACAACAGCAACAACAACAGCAGCAGGAGCAGCAACACCAGAACGATGTTATATTCGATGGTGACCGCGCAGAGGACCAGGAAGGTCCCTTGCCGCCGAATGGCGGATTTGTGCCCTTTCAATTTGACCACCAGCATCCTCATCAGCCACATCTCGGGCCCTATGGTTTCTATAATCCAGTGAAGCCAGTCTACGAGGACTTCAATCCCTATGACTCGTACGATATTAATCCCAATGGCACTCCGCAGGGTAAACCACCACCAGTGCCCACTAGTCAGTCAGATTTGTTCAATATATTGGGTGCTGATCAACCAGGACATCAGGGTCATGCTGGGCACCCCGGACAACCTGGGCCACCAATTCATACTGTTCAACAGCAAAAAGACAATCACAACCTGGTACCGCAAGTGAGAATTGAACAGATCCTGCAGCACCTGCAGCAGACTGTCCCAGGTGGACCGCCACCACCGCCCCACCAGCAACATCCGGCACTGACAGCGCAGCAACATCCGCAACAGCAGCAGCAACTAACACAACAGCAACATCCGGGTCACTATGTGCCCGTTGTGCACAGTGGAGTGCCACCGCCGCCGCCAGGACATGGCATTGCTATTGTGGATGGGCAGACAGTGGCCTACGAGAGCTACCCGGTGATTCCGGGACTGGGAGTGCCCCCCCACCATGCGCAGCAGCATCAGACGACCCCGCAGCAACACCTGCAGCAGGCAATCCTGCCCAGCTCGAGCACCACTTCGGGACTCTCCACGCAGGCCAGTGAGCACAGTCTGCATCACAATCAGGACAAGTTGGCCAAGCAGCAGCAGTCAGGTTGAACAAACTATTCTAGTCACCACACCCCTTAAGACACTCCCTACTCTGCCCAGCTCTTCTTTAGCAACAACAGAAACACTGCGACAGGGTTTTACTGTACTAACTGAGACAACACCAACCACAAAACCAACAACAGACACTCGCATGCACACATTCGCCATAAGCTCCACACACCCATTTATCATAAGAGATTATCCATCACTAAAATGCTTGCAGCTGATCTAATACGCAACCCAAGCGATAACCAAATGAAACTCGTTTATTAATATCGGGCCAACGAATACTAACAGAAACTAAAAATATAAGCCAGGGATAAGCTAAGGATGATCACCGTGGGAAAAGCGTAGAAATCCCATTTTTCAATAAACTAATTACAAATTAAATATTTAATTATTTTACTTAAAATTTTATGGAAAAGTTATACTTTTTTTAAATTGGAATCTATATAAACGTATTACTTATTATTCTTAATACGAATTGGTAATTAAACAGATTTTTCGCGTTCTAAACTAATCGTTTATTCAAAATACGAAGACTTTAGATTTGTATTACATTTTCTGAATACTACCTACATTTTCTTCCTTGATTTACTTTTTTTAACAGTAAATTTTAAATTAAAGTAAACATCTAATACAAATTTGTGTTTCCAATATGGCTCATCCCTTATTATATGTATCTCTTTATAAGCATTCAGTAAGCATAAAAACTTAATTTATTTTCCACAACTAGGAGCTAGCAACCTGCAGCCCGACATTGAAGTTCACACCCTGGAGGCAATCGATCCGCGATCCATCCGCATCGTCTTCACCGTTCCTCAGGTCTATGTGAATCTCCATGGACGAGTGGAGCTACGCTATTCGAACGGACCCAGCAACGATACATCCACCTGGGAACAGCAGATCTTTGCACCACCCGAGGACCTTATTGCAACATCCCAGATGGAGTTCGACCTGCCCAGCTTGGAACCGAACTCACTGTACAAGGTTAAAATCACACTGATCCTTCGCGATCTCAACTCGCAGCCAACAAGCAGTGTGTACACCGTAAAGACACCACCTGAAAGGACCATCACGCCACCACCTCCGTTCACCGATTACAGGCCTGACTTCCAGGACATCTTCAAGAACGTAGAGGATCCGGAACTGACGGTCAGCGAAACAAATTCCAGCTGGTTGCAATTGACGTGGAAGAAACTTGGTGACGACCAGATGGAGTATGTCGATGGGGTCCAACTGCGCTACAAGGAGCTGACGGGCATGATCTACTCCTCATCGCCGCTGATCCATCGCACATTGACTAGCTACACCATCCAGAACCTCCAGCCGGACACGGGCTATGAAATCGGACTATACTACATTCCGCTGGCCGGACACGGAGCGGAAATGCGTGCCGGACACATGATCAAGGTGCGAACCGCCCAGAAGGTAGATGTGTACAGCTTCGATGTGACTGTTAACGTCACTAAAGTGAAGACTCAGAGTGTGGAGATCTCATGGAACGGAGTGCCCTATCCGGAGGATAAGTTCGTCCACATCTATCGAGCCATCTACCAGAGCGACGCTGGCAAGGAGGATTCAAGTGTGTTCAAAGTGGCCAAGCGGGACAGCACCACTGGTACCCTGATTATGGATCTTAAGCCAGGCACCAAGTACCGGCTCTGGCTGGAGATGTACCTGACCAACGGCAATACTAAGAAGAGCAATGTAGTCAACTTCATCACGAAGCCAGGTGGTCCAGCCACCCCCGGCAAGACTGGTAAGTCCACAGATGCTACAGTAGAATAGAGTTATAAAGATTATTATTTTTTAAGTCTTGCAATTTTTTGAACGGATCTTGAAGGGATTTAAAATGTTTGGTAAAGTTTGAATATTTGTATAACTGAGATTCCAATTTTGCTTCTTTACATTTTTAATTTTTAATAACCTATTTTTTATATTTCTCGCTTTTTTGTAAAGAAACCAACATCTCACTATAATTTTACAAAAACATTTTAATAGGATTACCTTTTTGTACAATTTTGAGTTATAATATCTTTAAAGTAGAGTTGCTAACCCTAATTGGTTCATTTAAAGTCTTATCTGTTGTTAGCTGACATCCCCCAGATTAGAATCATATATGTGTCTTATTTGTAAGCTTAATTTCTGCGTATTGTATTCCCACCTTACTTACTCGCCTTATTTTTTACTAGGCAAACTACTTACCGCGGGCACGGACCAACCCGTGGGCGATTACTACGGCCCCCTTGTGGTGGTTTCTGTAATCGCCGCATTGGCCATAATGTCTACTTTGGCCCTGCTGTTGATCATCACCAGGAGACGAGTGCACCAAACGGCTTCCATTACGCCACCACGAAAGAGCGATGCTGCCTACGATAATCCCTCATACAAGGTGGAAATCCAGCAGGAGACTATGAGTGAGTACAACCAAACACCACACAAAGATTCTCCAGTTTAAATGAAATATCTTTAAATTGCAGATCTGTAACTGACACACGATGCCCGGCAAACAACTATTTTTATAACAGATTCTTGTATATATTGAATGAATAAGATATGGAAGAAAAACTCAGTGTCAGTAAAAATGTATAAGTAACAATATTGAATCAATCAGATTAAATCAGATGAGAGTAAGCAGTTTTCTTAAGCCGGCGCAAGATCAAAAATTTGTTCAAATCAGAATGGCCGCCATGTTGTATGTAGTGGTTAAGTAATCTAAAAACACACATCTTTTGTTAAACAATTTGTGACTTGTGTAAATAGAGAGAGAGTGAGACAGCAGGAGACACCCTATGAAAGAACTAATTAAAAACAGCTCCACAACTTAAATTAGCCTCGCTGGGCGCATCGATTCTTCTAGCGATTTCGAAATGCATACGAGTTTAGTTAGTTTAACTTGTAAATTTTAGCTTTACACTTATCGTAATTAAAAGGCGCATCAACAATGTGAACAACAGCAGAGAAAGCAACAACAGCAATATTTGGCTCAGTGATGTGTTCTTTAAATAACAGTCCATAAATATTTAAATTAGCTTGTAAAACCTAAATGTATGTGCATATGCATGTGTGTATCGATAAATAAAGAAAAGATAATAAAACCTTATAAAATATGTTATTGTAAATTTTGTCAAACTGTGTAATTGGCAAAAGAAAACATAATTAAAGTTTATATGCTCTTGCAGCTAAAACAAAAATAAAATATTATCTAATAGATAGAAGCTTTAACGACAGAACTCCACCTATGTTAAAACCAATAAACTTTGGCAACTCACAATTGCCAAAAAGCTTAACTGATCGTAACATTGGGGAGTTTCTGACGCTCTGCTTCCATCCCCGTAGATAGCTGATGAGTCTGAGGTGACGTGCAGACGAAACTAGCTAGTCCTATCATAGTCGGGTTCACTCCCCAGGGAGTGTAAGTGTGATGAAAGTTAAGTGGAATAAATCGTTGCGTTATAGAAGAAATTAAAATATAACCAACGTATGACCTCGAGTAATTCAATAACACTACAATTATTGTTTACAAGGTCGATACAAAACCAACATAAAACAACTACATTTAAGCTATAAATCGACAAAATGTTCCAAATTTTATTTCCGCTGTTTTCCGCTGAACTAACAAGTTTTTCACAAAGACGTAGAACAAACAAGAAAGGAAAGCTAACTTCGGGCGGAACCGAAGTTGAAATACCCTTGCAAAATATTCTGCAAATTATATTCTCCAAAATTATTCATATGATGCATTCTTAATACTCATAAAAAATCGCAACTTCCTAACTTTAAAAACACCAAAGTTATGGCATTTCCAATCGTTCAGTTATGTATATGGCAGCTATGGCAATCCTTATGAAATTTGATATGTCGGATTGATTGGGCAAAAATAAAACCCATAGAAAATCCCAACTTCCTAACTTAACAAACACTAAAGTTATGGCATTTCCGATCAATCAGTTATATGGCAGCTATAAGATATAGTCGTCCGATCCTTATGAAATTTGGTAGGTCAGATTAATTGGCCAAATATATATCCCATAGAAAATCCCAACTTCCTAACTTAACAAACACCAAAGTTATGGCATTTCCGATCAATCAGTTATATGGCAGCTATAGGATATAGTCGGCCGATCCCGGCCGTTCCGACTTATATACTGCGTGCAAAGGAAAGAAGGGTGTATGCAAAGTTTCAATTCGATATCTTTAAAACTGAGAGACTAGTTCGCGTAGAAACAGACAGACGGACAGACAGACGGACAGACAGACGGACAGACGGACAGACGGACATGGCTATATCAACTCAGGAGGTGATCCTGATCAAGAATATATATACTTTATAGGGTCGGAGATGTCTCCTTCACTGCGTTGCACACTTTTGACCAAAATTATAATACCCTCTGCAAGGGTATAAAAAGTGTTTTATGACTTTGACTTTTTGACGCACCGGCCCAATCAATTCCAATTTTTGGAATTTTCACTTACACACTTTTACCGCCAATTTTCCCTAATCAACGAATATTAGAATAGTCTTGATATGCACTTCCCTGGGTTCCGATCGGACTTTCACAGCACATGTTTAATTCTGCGGCTATATGTAGAAGTCATGTACTATTGTATCATTATCTTGACAGGAAGCTAACTTCAACATTTTGAAAAATCTATCAATTCGTTTCCCAAAAAAGCTAAAAATATTTTTTTTAATTCAACGATTTTGGGACCTGAAATTGAGTGCAATATAGAATTTATATTGGCATGAGAAGCGCTTTGCAGGGTAGACCAACTACTGCAAGGCGCCCAGGATCGGTAAAATAAACAAGAAAGGAAAGCTAACTTCGGGCGGAGCCGAAGTTGATATACCCTTGCAGAATATTATGTACATTATATTCTCCAAAATTATTCATATGATGCATTCTTAATACTCATAAAAAATCCCAACTTCCTAACTTTACAAACACCAAAGTTATGGCATTTTTGATCAATCAGTTATATGGCGGCTATAGGATATAGTCGGCCGATCCTTATGACATTTGGTAGGTCGGATTGATTGGCCAAATATAAAACCCATAGAAAATCCCAGCTTCCTAACTCTACAAACACCAAAGTTATGGCATTTCCGATCAATCAGTTATATGGCAGCTATAGGATATAGTCGTCCGATCCTTATGAAATTTGGTAGGTCGGATTAATTGGTCAAATATATAACCCATAGAAAATCCCAACTTCCTAACTTAACAAACACCAAAGTTATGGCATTTCCGATCAATCAGTTATATAGCAGCTATAGGATATAGTCGGCCGATCCTTATTAAATTTGGTACGTCGGATTGATTGGCCAAATATAATACCCATAGAGAGTCCCAACTTCCTAACTTAACAAACAGCAGAGTTATGGCATTTCCGATCAATCAGTTATATGGCAGCTATAGGATATAGTCGGCCGATCCCGGCCGTTCCGACTTATATACTGCGTGCAAAGGAAAGAAGGGTGTGTGCAAAGTTTCAATTCGATATCTTTAAAACTGAGAGACTAGTTCGCGTAGAAACAGACAGACGGACAGACAGACGGACAGACAGACGGACAGACGGACAGACGGACAGACGGACATGGCTATATCAACTCAGGAGGTGATCCTGATCAAGAATATATATACTTTATAGGGTCGGAGATGTCTCCTTCACTGCGTTGCACACTTTTGACCAAAATTATAATACCCTCTGCAAGGGTATAAAAATCAGCTTATGTCTTCCAGCAATTATCGCTGTGACCAATTAATAAAAAAAAGCAGAAAACAAAAAGCCGAAGTTGAATATTGCAGAATATTCTGTAAATTATATTCTCCAAAATTATTCATATGATACATTCTTAATACTCATAAAAAAACCCAACTTCAAACCTTTAAAAGCACCAAAGTTATGGCATTTCCAATCGTTCAGTTATATAGCAGCAATACGATATAGTCGGCCGATCCTTATGAAATTTGGTAGGTCGGATTGATTGGCCAAAAGTAAAACCCATAGATCCCGGCCGTTCCGACTTATATACTGCATGCAAAGGAAATAAGGGTATGTGCTAAGTTTCAATTCGATATCTTTAAAACTGACGGACGCGATCCTGATCAAGACTATATATACTTTATAGGGTCGGAGATGTCTCCTTCACTGCGTTGCACACTTTTGACCAAAATTATAATACATTCTGCAAGGGTATAAAAATTAATTTTTTGTTCATATACTCTAAAAGGGTAGCTATAGTATTAAGCGACTTGCTTGCCTTTAAAGGATCAGAAATAAATTATTTGATCAATTGTCTACTTTGACTTATTTCGGTAAAAGTTTGTACTTATTTCTATTTGATAACAAATTATTAAAAATTTAGATAAAAAAATGTTTAATTGATTTTAATTTGTTTGTGTTTATATCATTAAGAGGAACTTTTCATTTATTTAAAAGCATCGGACTTCATTAATAAATTGTCTTTGAAAAACATACAACACTTATACAAATATTTATGTATTATATTTACCCAGATACATTACCAATATTTACAGTCCAAAAAAATATATGACTTTAATGCCACATTTAATAAAAAAATAGATATTTTCATTTTATTAGTTTTCTTTCTTGATTTTTTGTATCGACTTCAATGACATGTATACAACATTAACTGGGAACTCGTACATGACTTTTGTCCCAAAATGTAATTTTATTTTTGGGGTTGCTTTCCATTTCCATTTTATTTTTTTTATTTGTTTTCTTTGCTTGCAGCACCAACAATATCGATATCTATATAATTATAGATGTATATACAAAATGCACAACTAGATTTCGCTTTTCAGAATTCAAAATTCAAATGTTCCGTATTCTAATGCCACACTAAATGCTAAAGTTCTGATTTTCTTGTGTGTGTAATTATAATCGAAGTTATTGTAGAGCAAAGGGGAAAAAATATTTAAATATCTTTTCGCATTTGGCGTGAACAAATCTTTGAGTTTTCGTCTCATTAAATTATTGTACAGTTAAGATTTAAGTAGATTTTTGGATTGTTTTTTGTGTAAATTTACATCGTTTGCTTGGTTGTTTTTTGTTTTTTAATTTTAAAAGTAATCACTGTTTAGCCTCCGTTCTTTGACATTAAGTTGGTTGTGTTGCTTGTTTGTTTTGGGCAAGGCAGGAGCAGGACTTGCCAGGCTCGGGAGAAGTGGCTTATTACTTGGTGCTGGTGCTAATGCTGGCAGCGGTCTCGCTATTACTGCACTGCTCGATGACGCTGTTACCTTCTGCCTCGCTGCTAGTGGTGGTGGAGGAACTGCTGTCGTCGTCATCATCGTCTGCCCCATCCTCATCCTCGTCCTCGTCCTCTTCGTCCTCCTCGTCATCCTCATAAACAATTTCGTTCTCAATCAGTCGCATGTCCATGTCCATGCTATCGAAGGAGTCGGTTATGACACTGTCGTCATCAGTCGTAGTCTCGTCCTCTTGGCCAGACGCGTCGTTATCGAGGTCCAAGTCATCGTCCGCATGGCCCTGCTGCTGCGGTGAGGAGCCCTCGCTGCCCGTTTCCATGTGCATCTCCTGCATCAGCTCCTTGATCAGCTCAGTCTCAATCTCGGTCACTCCCAGGCCCAGATGCCGCTTGTTCACGTCCATTAGCACGTTCTTTAGGTTGCGGGCCAGCAGACGCAGGTGTTCATCGCTGCAGGCGCTTGGACTGGTCACATATCGGATGTAGTCCTCCAAGTAGTAGCTGTTGAAGCTATCACGACTCGGTTCTCCGCCGGCAAACTGCTGGTGCGTCAGTAGTAACTGATTAATCAGCCAGTTGCGGCCGCCCTTTAGAACTTCGATGGCATCTCGTACACACTGGCGGCCCAGCTCGAAATTACGGTAGAGCGGGTACGTGATCATGCGACGCAAAAAGGACACAAGAACGTCCCGGTAATTGTCGAACTGCTCAAAGTAGCAGTACAGCGGGCATAGGATGCTGCGCGTCCAGCCAGACTCACACGTCGCCTCATTGTTGGTCGTTCGCACATCATAGCAAATGGCCAGCAAAATGCTAATTAGCCCGCAATCGATCTCGTTTTGGTGCAGAATGTCAAACGGCTGTTGTTCTCGCGCCTGGTCCCGGCTAATGTTGTGCAACAGATGCGCCTGCTCCTGCGTCATGGAAGTCTCGTAGATTTTCGGCTTGTAGCGCAGAGGATTCTGGTGACCGGACGGTACCTGTAGCTCCACAAAGTTCATTTTGTACTGTTCGCGTGAGAAGCGCTTCATTTCGTCGACCACGCGCTCCTGGCGTCGTTGGATGGGGCTCATCCGATGCGGTTCCGACACGCGACAAGTGGCCTTATCCAGCTGGAAAATCGACTGGGGTTAGTTTTTGTTGGTGAAAAGTCAAAACCAGAATAGTCACCTCACTTGTGTCCAGCGGACCACTGTATTTGCTGGCGTAGCCGTAACCAAAATGGTTAGTCAGCTTGTAGGTGCGCTCGTTTCCGTCGAGCTGCAGTTGGCACTGATCGGTGATGCGTTTTAGTTTCCATTCCTGGACCAGGGGCTCCTTGTCCGGCAAAAGGGCACTGGTGCCGTCGGCTAGGGTGGGCAGGTGCAGAAAGGTGGCAATATAATCCTTGCGCCCGCTCTTCGGCTTGGCTGCATCGCCCGAGCCCACACCTCCACCCCCGCCTCCTGATCCTTCCTGTGCACCCGCTGTAAGGGGCAGACACCGCAGGCAGATCTGGTAGTGCTTTTCCGCTGTGTTGTACTTAATCAGCAGCGTCTTCAGCTCCCGCAGGTCGAAAGTGCGGCGGCTATGGAATCTTTCGGAGAAAGGAAATGGAAGGGCGTAATGATATCGCTGGAATTTCGCGTAGGCGTACCAGATTGGAGTGACTCACTTGTACAGCTTGACGTCTGCGTAGAAGTAAAGATCGTGCGAGTCGACGAATATATCGCAGTTTCTTATGCGATCCACATGCACAGCCTCCGCGCCGCCTTCTCCTGCTACCCCTACCCCCGCAGCCGACCCTTGGCCATGCTCCTCGGCAGTGGAAGAAGAAGCAGCAGCAGCTGCTACTGGCTGGGACGACTTTAAGGACTGATTAGCTGCAGGCGGGCGGGGTATCAGCAGCGTGCACGAGTTCTCTAGATAACTGTGTGCAATCTGTCCATTCAACATCTTACAAATTTATTACGTTCTTGCTGATTCTGCTAACTACTGTTTTTTAGTATAATTTTATTTATTTTAATGACCAGTATGACCGACTACTTGAAATAAAAAAAGGCCTTCTCCTACAAGCCAGCTTAATAACATTTATGTTACGTTGTCGGCTTGTGAGTTTGGCTACTTTTCCGTCAAATTTAGCTATTTTGAAAGGTGCAGTGTATTATCTTGATTTATTTTATTGATTTGCTAATAATATTAACGACATGAAATTCCCCACATTGCTTTCATTAATTTGCGATTTTGTAAGCTTTAAAACATTCTTGGAAACTGACTCATAAACAAATTTTAAAGCTATTTAATGTTTAAAAATGAACACGAAATTAATGAGGCTTTATTCTTTCATTTAATGTAAGATGCGATGTTTTTATCTCTACTGTTAAGTCTTTTAAGAATTTGAATATTTGGTTTTTTCCAACTTTTTTATATGGTATTATATTTTGCAACCGATACCTCCCAGCCCAAGTCGTGAATGAACATCGATATAAAGCACTAGCCCCACTTTGCTGAGGCGTTAGGACATTGCTCATTCGCTCGCTCCACTTCCTAGTCGCCATTATCGATTTGTGGCAGAGGAAAAATAGAAAATTAAAAAATCGCGTTTCAGCGTTAGGCACCGGTTAGAGAGCGCATAAAACGCGTCGTTACATTGTTTAAGGCTTGTGACGTAGTAACGAACAACTGTGTACCGTTCAGTTTTTCCTAAAGCTCGAGTATAAGAATTTTCCTGTTGAAAATATTCTCAATCAATCAATACCTCTCTCTCCCTCGCTCGCGTATTCGTGTGTGTGTCTCTGTCTCTCTCTTTCGTTGTGTGAGTGTGTGTTCGTGTGGTCTGCTCCTTGGGTGCATAATTAAATTAATCAAGTAAATAAAAGTCAGTGTGCGGGAGAAAGAAGAGGAAACACAACAACAACAGCTTCATCATGACCATGGCAGGGCAAACGATCAACGACAGGCTGCTTGCAGCCCGTCACAGCCTAGCAGGCCAAGGACTTGCAAAGTCCGTTTGCAAGGCCACCACGGAGGAATGCATTGGCCCGAAGAAGAAGCATTTGGACTGTAAGTATCTCTCTCCCATGCTCTTGCTCTCATAATCCCTCGTTGCGTAAAATCACCGTTACGTTTCCTAGTTGGTACACGGAGAAATACCACAAAGCCTTGATAAAGTTACAGTGTTTTATGGGAAAATGTATCCCTCAACCTCGAAAGAAACTTGTACAGTCGAACTTCCATTACTCGAACCCAAAAAAATTATTACAATAGTAATGTCATGTCAAATATTTCCTTTATTTGATGAAATAATTAAACCGATTTAAAAGGCTGAAAACTACCGTTATGTATGTATTTGGGTCAATGTCTGTAATGAGTTTTTATTCTGATATATTTACATTTACAGATTAAGAATTCGTCTTTACTTCTAAAAAATTAATGATTTAAAATTGTAATTGCAAACAATTTTTTTTATTTTCAAATTTGTATTGCACATCAAATAACTTAATAATATTAAACGAAAAACTAAATACGTTAAATGTTAAAAAAAAATTACTATTAATTCATTGTTTTTTAACTTCCTAAAATAGATGTAGATTATTTAGCAAATACGAAAAGGTGACGTTTGAGTTTTGCATTAGTTTCTCCATGTGCAATTACAACCGTTACCACTCATTGCAAAAATAAAACAAATACCCATTCAGTAACAACCAGTTCGAGTCTCTTAGCTTTCCCACTCCATCCTCACGTGTTTTTTTTTTGGAATAAATAACAAAGTTTTCTGAAAACGAAGCCACTGATTACGGTCCACAGAGCTCTACCACCCACAATTGCACCTGTGTCTCAGCTGCTGCTGTTTGTGGACTCCGTTCGTCATTGATTGTCCTCGCCTTCTCTTTCTCTCAGCGGTCTCTCTCTAACATTACGTCACTTTCCCACGGCTGCAAGTGTGGTTGTAGGAGCTTTGAATGGCTTAAAACGCCTACGAAAGCAGCGATTGTTGTAGTTATGGTACCATTGTATGCTAAATGTATGCATAAGTCTTTTCTCTAATTCGATGGATTTGCTTCAACCTTTAAATTTTTCAAAAAAAAGAATCGAATAAGTCCAATATCTTAATGACAGTCCCGCTGGAATCTGGTTTTTTGGTTATATTTACTCGCATGGTGACCCCCTTTTATTTTGCTTGTCTGAAAACTTTTATGATGAGTCATCAGCAACAGCTACTAGTAAATGGGCATAAAATAGGGCAATAATAACATGGAGCGTTACTTGCCACATAAACAATGTATTTCATCTGCCAAATTGGCATGTGTCAACGTTAACAAAGTTTAAATTGTGTGACAAATATGCTTCATACGTGTCTCATACGCATAATACACATTTTAAAATTGCATTTATAAAAACGTCATGTAAAACACTACTTAAATTAAACCCGATCTGTACACTTAATAGGCCCCCGATAGGTAGAAGACCTCTATTAAATGTATTTGTTTTATCTGCTCTCTCTATATTCTTTTGGTAACGACTTTCGGGCTTAAAATAAAACCAACTATCCAACTACAGTACATAGATGGTTAGAAATCGAATTATGTGACATATATTCGGGACGGATGGTTATTGACCAATGGACCAGTGATAATTACTTTTATTATTACTTTATTAGACATTAAACCGTCAGCAAACCAATAAAAATATTAGTAACCCGTAAATTTAAAGTGTACTCCATAGCGTCAGAACACTGTGTTTGTGTCAAATTCACTTGTTCACAACGGCCAATCAATTTTCCACATTTGCCGTTTATTGAAATTGCTTTTATTTATGTATAAATGAATCACTGGTCTGGCGTCGCCCGTCAGCTCTTCTAAATAAATTGAAGAAAAATACCGTGAAATATCTGATCTGGCTTGTGCAACGCCCCTCAAATCGTTTGGCGACAAAAACTTTTCAACTGAAATGAAAATCGCTTCGAGGGGAATCTCATAATAGTTGTAAACCCATTGCTCTTATCACCGACACTTTTCCGTCCCTAAATGATTTGAGTTGACTCTTTAGCTCGAATGTCGGTTGAAAAGAGAAGACGAAGATAAGCCAAGAACTAAGAGTCGTGACCGATAATGGGCCGCACAAAACAAGAAGATTAAATTTATGGCAGTTGCGCACAATTTAATAATTTATTGTTCCGTTTATAATATCGAGGGTATTTTAAGCATGGGACAACCACCAAAAGAATTTGAACCGCAAGATGTAACGAATAAATGTATTACGTTAAATTGATAAGATCTAATAACTTATTCTACATTGAAGGAAATTTTTGGTCGAACATTATTGAGTTAAAAACAAGAGAGAACGCTATAGTCGGGTGCCCCGACTATCAGAAACCCGTTACTCAGGTAAAGGGAGTGCGAGGGAGATGGAGATAGAAACTTTGATCACGCATAACTTTTTAACGAATGGTCCGATTTGAAAAATTTTTTCTACATTTCGATAGGTATTGATAAACACAATAAAACTGCATTTTTACTTTTCCGAAATATTTAAATTTTTAAAATCGTATATAAGCGATTGTGGGCGTTTAAGGGGGCGTGGCACCATTTTGAAACAAACTTGCGCTGCATAGGAACTTCTAAAATCTACATGCAAAATGCCAATCTTCTAGCTTTTATAGTTTCCGAGATCTCAGCGTTCATACGGACAGACAGACGGACAGACAGACGGACATGGCTAGTTCGATTCGGCTAGTGATCCTGAACAAGAATATATATACTTTATAGGGTCGGAAACGCTTCCTTCTACCTGTTACATACTTTTGCACGAATACAATATACCCTTTTACTCTACGAGTAACGGGTATAAAAATGAAAATTGGCGGATCCTGAATTTTGTTGGCTAGCGAGATTCAAACACAATTTTTGTTTTCAAATAATTTTTTAAGTTCATTATATTTTTAATTTGTCTATCTACTTGAAACATTCCCAAAAGTTGTCTTTCTATTGCAAGTCGGAATGAACCGGATCGGTCGACTATATCATATAGATCCCATTACGTTTTTAATTAACTTAAAATCGGACATCTATATAATATAGCTCTCATAAAAAAATCAAAAAATTTAAAAAAATAAAATTTTTATTTTTTATTTAAATATTTTTTTGACATATAGTAATTATTTACTATATTCGAATTACGCTTTTAGTTTTGTCAAAATCAAACAACAATAACATATAGCTGCCATAGAAACGATGGCAAAATGCAGCGCAAAATCGACATAGCTTCATTGTTATTAGTAATATAGGCATAGAAATCGAATTGTCGTCGTTTTGCACTAACTGCAAGGGTATATAATCTTCTACTTGCCGAAGTTTGCTTCTTTACTTGTTTAATAATAACATAACATAATCAAACCAAAAAAAAGTTTTTAATATACATTTTTTTAATTTAATATATATCTTATTTTTACTTTGAACGCGTTGATCGAAGAAAATAACTTTTCTGTCGAGAGATCAGTTGATATTGACTTTTTTTTTTTATATTCCGAAAGTAACAAAGTAAATTAAGTTTTTCCTTCTACTTTTATAGCAGTGACTGTAGACTTATTTTTCATTTTTTGTGAATGGTTTTTTATTATTATAAGCGTACTCAAAATTTGTTCTTTTTCAGATTTGGTGCACTGCACAAACGAACCGAATGTGTCGATACCTCATCTTGCCAATTTACTTATCGAGCGCTCCCAGAACGCCAATTGGGTCGTTGTCTACAAGTCGCTGATAACCACACATCATCTCATGGCATATGGCAATGAGGTTTGTATTTGTATCTGTTTCTTCTGTTTGTGTAAAGCGTATTAGGGGCGTATTTCATTGTCGATATTTTATTTTAATTTTTATCTTTTTTTCATATTTTTTTCCTTTTTTTTTAAGTTAAATTTTTACTTGCGAATCACCCTATATGTATGTCCGCCCTTTGAAAACCCTTATCGTCGTTTGTTATTTGTTCTATTCCTCTATTTATTTAGAGCAATCTTTTTGGTATTTATATCTAGACATAAAGAGAATAGACGTGAATAAATTAAAATACATCTTTCTCAAAGAATTCAAAGAAAACACACAAGGAAAAGTAGTGGCATTCCCAACATCAAAATTAAAAATTAGGGTGATTAAAAAAATGCTGCTTAAGAAATTCCATGGCTATGCAAAATATTGTTGTAGAGATAAAAGTCAATATACTTGACAATGTTGCCTAATGCTAAAGAGGACCTAAAAAGTTGTTCCTGGACAACAATATTAATATTCATGTTTTGTTAAGTTTTGAGAGACAGCCGATTAGAAAAAACGTCGATTTCAGTATTCATTTTTGTGTATAAAATATAAAATCTTTTGCAAAATCTTATATTTGAATGCGTTATTTTGATTTGTATAATGAAGGAGTTGTCTAAGACGTGATAAAACAGAATATTTAACAAGAACTATTATTAACTTTAAATTAATTAATTGAGTTTGTAATTCACTTTTTATTAATCTTTTCAGCGTTTTATGCAATATCTGGCTTCAAGCAATTCCACGTTCAATCTCAGCTCCTTTCTGGACAAAGGAACTGTGCAAGGTATAATTAAGTTTCCCTTCAAATCCCCTAAAATGTTTTTCATACCCATCAACAATTTGATCGAGTGACTATTGAAAACTAATGCTTACATTTTAATCATCCCCCTTTCATTCTCTCTTTAAATTCATGTGAATGCTGCGCGAACGATGGCTTTTATTTCATTAACAAAAATTTCTAAACAAAAATAATTAATACCGAATTGCGGCGCTTACTGACCCACATTTTGCACACTATATGCTGGCTAACAACAACTTGAAAAATCAAATTATCCAAACTAAATATTCAAAATCAAAAAAATTAAACCTTATACAGATGGTGGCATGGGCGTTCCGGGTGGCAGAATGGGTGAGTATAATACAGAAGCTGTTAGCACTTGGCTGAAACTTCTTCTTTATTGGGCTATAGTCGTTGTATTTTTTCCTAGTTGTTACTAAAATTCGTTTAAGCTAAAAATGAAATCAAAATTAACTAACCATCAGGCTTATTGTTTTTAAATTTCGTATTTGGCACTGCCTAAAATGTGTGTGACCTATATATAGAGAACATTCATTAATATTTGTCCAATAAACAGGTTACGATATGTCGCCCTTCATTCGGCGCTATGCCAAGTATTTGAATGAGAAATCGCTCTCCTATCGAGCCATGGCCTTCGACTTTTGCAAAGTCAAGCGAGGGTATGTAAGCCACATCGTATATAGTTTTGATCTAATTTATTTGATTCGTAATCTATTATTTAGCAAAGAGGAAGGCTCGCTGCGCAGCATGAACGCAGAAAAACTTCTGAAGACATTGCCAGTTTTGCAGGCACAACTGGATGCACTTCTGGAGTTCGACTGTCAGTCCAATGATTTGTCCAATGGCATGTTTTAATCTCTTTTTGCTTTTTAAATGTTTTTTAGATAAGTATGATTCTTTTTAGGTGTTATTAATATGAGCTTTATGCTCCTATTTCGCGATCTCATACGCCTGTTTGCTTGCTACAATGATGGCATCATTAATTTGCTTGAGAAGTACTTTGATATGAACAAGAAACATGCGCGCGATGCATTGGATCTCTACAAAAAGTTTTTGGTACGCATGGACCGTGTTGGGGAGTTCCTTAAAGTGGCCGAGGTTAGTAACTCAGTAAAATGTTTCCGAATATTCATTCTCTCACTTCCTGATTACAGAATGTGGGCATTGACAAAGGCGATATTCCCGATTTGACCAAGGCGCCCAGCTCGTTGCTGGATGCTCTGGAACAGCATTTGGCCACGTTGGAGGGTCGCAAAGTTTCCGCAGCCAACACGCCCACACAGTCATCAAGGTTTGTTGATCTGGTCTTAGAGTATTACGCTTCTTTTCTTTGTAGTCTTTCACTCATATTTTGCAATTATTTTGAACTTTGAACTTTAAACTTCTTTAATTTCAAATTTCGACTAATTTATCTAACAACAAGAAAGGAAAGCTAACTTCGGGCGGAGCCGAAGTTGATATACCCTTGCAGAATACTCTGTAAATTATATTCTCCAAAATAATTCATATGATGCATTCTTAATACTCATAAAAAATCCAGACTTCCTAACTTTAAAAACACCAAAGTTATGGCATTTCCAATCGTTCAGTTATATGGCAGCTATAGGATATAGTCGGCCGATCCTTATGAAATTTGGTAGGTGGGTTTGATTGGCCAACAATAAAACCCATAGAAAATCCCAACTTCCTAACTTAACAAACACCAAAGTTACGGCATTTCCGATTAATCAGTTATATGGCGGCTAAAGGATATAGTCCTCCGATCCTTATGAAATTTGGTAGGTCGGATTGATTGGCCAACTATAAAACCCTTAGAAAATCCCAGCTTCCTAACTTTACAAACATCAAAGTTATGACATTTCCGATCAATCAGTTATATGGCAGCTATAAGATATAGTCGGCCGATCCTTATGAAATTTGGTAGGTCGGATTGATTGGTCAAATATAAAACCCATAGAAAATTCCAACTTCCTAACTTTACAAACACCAAAGTTATGGCATTTCCGATCAATCAGTTATATGGCAGCTATAGGATATAGTCGGCCGATCCCGGCCGTTCCGACATATATACTGCCTGCAAAGGAAAGAAGGGTGTGTGCAAAGTTTCAACTCGATAGCTTTAAAACTGAGAGACTAGTTTGCGTAGAAACAGACAGACGGACAGACGGACATGGCTATATCAACTCAGGAGGTGATCCTGATCAAGAATATATATACTTTATATGGTCGGAGATGTCTCCTTCACTGCGTTGCACACTTTTGACCAAAATTATAATACCCTCTGCAAGGGTATAAAAAAAACCAATACCGTCAGTGAGATACTCTTTTCAAAATATTAAAATACAATTAAAAAGTCATCTGAGGAACACAAATCCTATTAGTAATCGTTAGATAATTAAAATATTGATATTAATTTGTATAAATTTATTTATTATTATAATATGAAGCTTGTGGGCCATAGGACTTAAACAATTTCGGATTCGAAAACGTTTAAGCAGCGGTGCTTCTTTCCCTGTTGGCAAGAGAGTAGCACTTTTGTTTAGATTATTCTTCTTGGTTCTTTACATTTTACAGTGCTTCCATTATGTTCTTTATCTTTATACCCATGCAGAGGGAGTTATAATTTCAGTCAAAAGTTTGCAACGCTGTGAATGAGACATTTCCGACCCTATAAACTTGACTTGAAAACTACGCCAAGCCGAAGCTTATATACTCTTGCAGTTCTTACAAAACGAATATATTTCGATTTCTATGCCTTTATCCGGATGCTTTAAAGGGTCGGAAATGTCTTCTTCGCTGCGTTAGAAACTTTTGACTGAAATAAAATACCCTCTGCAAGGGTATAAAAAGAATTATTGTGCTACTGTGCAAGAGAGTCGTACAACAATATGTTTAAGAAAAGATGCTAGACTTTGGTAACCTCAATTGAGTTGAGGTTATTGTTAGCAGGGTAAAATATACAACATTCCAAATCGTAATTTGAGCTCTCCTTCTCGTGGGAAGGCGAAAATATACTTTTATTTCTATGCTTTTATTTCCTTTGACTTATAGTTGGTAAACATTAATTTCAATATTTATTTATTTTAAACAAAATGTCTTGGCAAATTTAGTTTCAAATAATAGTGTAGTGTAGTATAAATTCATAAATATTCAGAATACCTTTGCCTTATTACTTTAGTTTCTAAGATACTTTTGTTTAAAAAGGTAGACAGACCAACGGATATCGTTGTTGATACTGAAAGGCAAATTTTTGTGTTTGGACTACACATGCTACATTTTTCTTTGTCTTATTAAAAAAGAAAAGTGTTTAAAATCCAAAGTTACCTGCTTAATATTTTGAATATAAGTACAGAAATTACAGTTTTGTTCTTGTTAAAAATGTTGTATTGTATTTGCTCAAAAATTTGAATTTATTTCTGCAGTCGATTATTTTCATGAATTTTTTTTCTTAGATATATTATTGATTATTAATTATTAATTTTTGTGTTTTATTCTTTTATTTCTATAATTTTTCTTGTTTTGTAACTCGCCTCTGGTTTTTGATGCCTGACAATCATTAGCAATCAGCGCAATGTAAAATCCGCTGTATCTGCACTCTCTTCTACCAGCTCGGCATTTGGTACTGCGGCTGCTTCTAGCAAATTTGATACCACCAATGGCATTGACGAGCAGCTAAAGGCGCAGGTGCTTGCCGAAGAGGAGGCTGCCATGAACCAATACAAGGTGAGCTGATTAGCTGCATTACTTATCGAAAATGTGTTTTTAATCAATGTATATACCTGTTTTTTTGGTAGTCTAAGGTATCGTCGCCGACTAGCAGCGGTGCTGGGGCTAGCGCTGCACTAACAAATCCATTTCTATCGTCGCCACCAGCCGCACAGGCTGGCCAGCCGATAGTTGATCTGTTCGGTGCCGCGTCGGCGCAGCCCGCTGCTGCTGCAGCAGCCACCAAGGCCTCAGACGATCTGCTGCAGTTGGGCAATCCTTTTGCTGACATGTTTGAAGCCAGCGGCGGCGGCGGCGGAACTGCCGCTTCAGGAGCCACAGGTGCTGCACTCAATGCCAATAATTTGTGGATGCATAATAATGGTAGCATGTTATAATTTTCTTATTATTTTATCCTAAGTTCTCCAGTAGCAATAATGATTTAAATTACGTTTATTTTGTGCTGTACATAGGTATAAGTCGGTGTGTAAATGTAGTGATCCTACATGTTTATATTGTGGTACCCGTAAAAATCAGAGCTATGAGGAGCGCATTTATCCGGCGCTCTAGACGCCCCTCACTTTCTGTCTGACTCTATTTCACTCCGGTCTAGCCGTCTGTTTGCACAAGACTTTCATGCACCATTTTATCCATATTTGTAATCATAATAAAATATTTTTTATCGATTTAGTTATTTACCATAGTTATTTTTGTAAGTTTTTATTTCTTTTGAATTCTTGTCTAATGTATTGTTACTCTTTATTTTTCATCACTGTTTTTTTCCAACCCGAAACAAAAACGAAAACTACGACAACGATAACGATACCAAAAACAACACCTCGAAAACCAAAAACCAAACCAATCGCTAATCTTCCAATTCACGTCAACGACTACCGTCCACCGCCCACACAACACCCAAAAATACTGAATACAAAACCACCAAAAATATTAAAAAAAAAAACAAAAAAACATAGGTTTTAATGGCGCTTCAGTTTCCTCCGCTGCTGCTACAAATACTTTCGTTTCCGATAGTAATTTCTCATCCGTTTTTGGTAACACGGAACCAGCAGGTAAGTTCCTTCATGACAGTCTTCATTCATTCCTATCTGCAAGCTATAATGTAATCCTAAGAACACAAATTTGAATACCTAATACGCAGTCACAAACTAAACGCTTTTTTATTACTAACTACTTTCAATTAAGTTGACTAATTGATTGAAATTATACAATTTCTAAGGCAACTTAAATACCATTTTGGTGTGTTTGAACTAACCTGAAATAAATTTTAGCATGGTATTTATAAGCCTTAAAAGCAACGTTTACACCAGGCTAGAATATTTTTGTGTACCTTTCGTAAATTTTAAGAGGTTGTTAAAGACCCTTAAAAGAATTATGCGTGATTACTATAGAACTCCTTTTCGTTTTACGTGATCCCAATGTTAGTTTGATAATAATATTCGATCATTTAATAATTATAATTTTATATTACTTTAATGATTATCCTGTAAATGTTTGCGTTGAATTTCACACAGCGTCGATGTCGTTGCCAAATCCATTTTTCGATGACATGTCGTTGCCCCAAGTTCCACTTGTTGCTGCGTCTGCACCCTTTGGCAACAATATCAATTTCATGGATCAACAGGTGCAACAACAACAGCCAGCGGCATTATATGTGCAGCAGCAACAGCATTTGCAACTACAGCAGCATCCGCAAAACCGGCAGCAATTGCCGCAACAGCAAGCGCTATTGCCACCCTCCATGTCAGCCACGACAGCAGCAGCTCAGTTTCCACCAGGTGAACCTTCGCCGTCCCACGACGAAAACGAATACGAAAACAAAATCCATTAACCTCAAGCATCTGTTTCTCCGCGTGCTTTGTTTCTGTACAAAGCTTGCTCCGTCACTGGCTTGTTGTGCTGCAGCAGACACGAATTTTCTCTCTCAGCATCCAAGATCCTCTGAGCGTTGCCCTGTGTCACAGATGCTCATCCACACCAAACAGAACATGCTTTGCTCACTGTTGTCTGCTCGTGTTTTGTAGCTATTTTGTCCATTTTAATTGTCTGTACTCGATTATGAAATCGTTTTGTCATTGACAAAAAATGCTGCGTTGTTGTCCTTTGACATCAAAATTTTGCTTTAGTTTATATCCTATTAATTTATATCTTTCTTATTAAAACTATTTAAGAAACAAAATAATTTTTGTGTATGTTAATTGTATTTCAATTTTAATTTCTGTGTGATATTTCGGTAAAAGAATCTATGCATTCAGGAGAAGTTAGTTTAATGTCAAATTCTCTTTTTGCTATTTGCTATTTTCCTATAACTTTCTGAAGACATTTTTTCTCTAATATCTGTTTACTGTCGCAAAACCAAATATTGTATATAATTTAAACCAATTTAATCATATTAACCATGTTCCTCAATATCACCTAAGCTAAAATTTCATATCGAGCTTAGGGTTGCTTTTGTAAATATTCTTACCATCTTTCATGTATCTGTAGATAACAACCTATTAATAGTCCTATGCCAAAAATTAGAAATCAAAAAGTCCCATATAGTTATATAAAAATGCAAATTCATGTTATTTATTTTGTAAATGTTATTTTTTCTCTTTTTCTCTCTCTTATGTTCTTATGTACTGAACGTAAAAACAAAAATATCAAAACTAAAAAACAACCTCACATATTCTCATGTTAATGTTGGTGGCACAAATCCATATTTGAACACTCAATCTTTATAAAACTCTAAAAAATATTTGTGTGTTTTATGATTACGCTGGCAAAATGAAAACAAAATGAATAAAAATCATTTAAAACCAAAATATAAAATCTCCACGGCAAACAAAATCAACTCTAACTCAACAAACATCAAAAATAAATACCTTGGGATCATCGGATTCATTGTTAACGCTATCTACTATATATACGTATATCCAATGTGTTGTCTCTGTGTATAAATGTCTGCTTAAAACGGTTCATTGGCTATGGCTACCTTTAAACAAACACCATATCGTCTGAAATGTACACATCTATCAAAGGCTTCGATGCATTGGGCGATGTTCTCAAGCCTGCCTCAGCCAACAACAACAGCAATCAAATGAACGTTGTCGCCACAGGTTACTCCAGCAATAGCAGTTCGATTCTAGCGTTACAACAGCAGCAACACAACCAGCAACATCAGCAGCAAGTGCACCAGCAGCAACAGCAGCAGCCACCGGCTGGCACTGGGAAGATAATTACCGGCGACTTGGATAGTTCACTAATGTCACTAGTTGATAACTTAAATATAAACAAAACGGCAAGTGCAAAGTGAGTAAATCGAGCCAATATAATGACGATATATATGTATGTGCGTGCGTTCGAAAGTGAAGCCAAAACAGAGAGTTGATCAGTATCCATGTTGTCGCATCTCCATCAGTTCACTCGCAGTAGATGGTTGCCTCGTATCCCTAAAGGTTAAATGTTAATTTGGTCAGCCAAGTTCCAACTCCGAACAAACAGATCCTTTGACGATCCCTTATACCAATACTAAACCCTCCTTCCATCGCCATCCGAACTGACCTTCCCGTCCATAAAGCCATATTCATGTTCCATATGTGTACATAAAGTCCATCCAATCTAGTTCGAAATCACGCAGAAATGTGTTTAGATAGAAAAATCCCAAAATTCAAATGCCGTGTTCATTGACTTCGTCTATATATCATTACTCTTTACCCCATAATTCTCATAGACCCGTGCAATGGAATTCACCTAAAAATACAGCGAAACCAGGTGCTAATTGGACACCCCAACCAATGGCGGCTACTACTGGTGCTGGCTATCGTCCAATGGTGAGTTTTGCCTACTCTAACTCTACTCTCTACTGTCTACCGAACTACTCTACTCAAAAACTACCAATACTACTCGAAAGAATCCGATAAAAAACCAAACTCTACGTTGCATCGAATTTGTTCGAATTTAACGAGAGACCAAAATAAATAATTCGAATACACTAGAAATCGTGCCGAAGCAGATACAACTAATGGAGAGAAAACAATGCCAGAAAGGAAAACAAAATACACTTTTTTCTTATGTAAATGCATTGTTTTTCCCTTTGATTTTGTTTCGATTTTGTGTCACCCAACACTTTATTCTACACTTCATGTACAGTACACTTTATTACCTAATTTAATGTGATTTTCCTTTTCAAAATTAATGTTTATTTATCAATTGAAAAAGTTACTTGGTTTTTTTGAGTTAATTCCTGATCTGTATGAAAATTTCCACAGCTTGCTTAAATTTTGTTGATAAGATTGAAAGTGAATAAGTATATTTAATATTCTTTCATCAGTCCACTTTAAATTTCTAAATGTTGTACCATTTGTTATTTTATAATTGTGAATTGAAAGGGAAATTCAAGTTAATGCGGGTTGTATGTTATGCCTTTATTTTGCCCAGATTTTAATACAACCCACCGTTTACCAAAGAATAATAGCGAATTGCACCAGAACACAACTACTAGGGCTATGTTTAGTGGCACATATTGGCAAGCAGGTCCATGAGTAAACATGATGTGTTAATTAGGCCTCTACAGCAACACACGCAGGCCAAAATAACAAATCACATATTTCCATATTATATTTTTAATTTATTATTATTTTGATTTTTAATTTGCATTTTAACCAAGTATATATAAACTATCAACTACTTTCTTTTCTTTATTTTATGTTTGCTTTATATCTCAACTATCCCAACGCATACCGCAAAATCGAAAATCGTTAACCGAATCAAATCAAATTGAATCACAACTAAATATATATTGAAACCAATCAAACAAACAACAACAAACGAATCACTAATGGCAACTCACGCTGCGCCTGTGTTAATGCTGTCTGTGTGTGTGTATGTGTGTTTGTGATATATCAATATATATTCTATCAATTTGCCAATATATACATCGATATGCAAAATGTAGGCACATGGCATGACCGTAAGTCCTGCGCCAATCACAATCAATCATCCGTATATACATGCTAGTTATCCTGTAATGCCAAATTATATGCAGGTAAGATGAAGCTAAATCCAACAAAATGAACCAAAACCAATACAAAACTTTCAAACAGAATAAAGAATACTAAATAAATATAATTTTGGTTTTGACCTAAGTTGCCGTTTTTTCCTTATAACTAACTATTGATTTTGTTTGTAATCCTTTAATTTATTATTTTTTATAAGACTTGTTTCAATTTTGTTTAAAAATCTATCATCTTCAGCACTAACGTATATATGCGAACTATACGCCAGAAACTTCCTTCCTGTTTTTTTTGGTTACCGGCTACAAGCGCGTGTTCTGTACGACCCTCCTCTATGATTCTCGTTTCTGAATTAAATTGCATTATTATCCTGCACTTTTATCAGTTACTTGTTTGTTTAAATTATAATGACAATCTGGTAGGCATTTAGTTTAAGGAGAATTACTGTTTTACTTGTTTGTAGACCTCACTTCCTTCAGTATTATTCCATGTAGCAATGTTTTCCAAGCTCACGGTGGCCCCTTCTATAAAGCTCAACCGACACCTATTTCCTGCCACTGATTTTGTAGCATTGCGTCTGTCATAGCAGTTTATAAGTACATATTGTATTTCCAGTGCATGAATTTCAACCGAACATACATTGTACGCACAGTTTTAACGCTTATTTTAACGACTTTTATAGGGAATGCCGGTGATGGGCCAGCCAAGTATGATGGGGCAGTCAGCAGCCCCTTTGACTGGGGCGCAACCGACGATGATGGCGCCGCACAGTAATGCGACGGGCATCATGCAACCCATCCAGCCAACGCAGAATGGCGGCAATAAAGGCGTCCCACTCTACCCATTTGGTGCGATATAAGCGGTCCCCAAGGAGATCATGCGTGCAAAACACTCACTTACTCAGTTTAAGAGCTCTAACCTCATAGACAGCAAACATCAAACCACACTCACATTACACAAATGCGTAATAAAATATTAAATATAACAATTATATATATATATACATGAGCAACTTGAAATTTCATTATATAACATTTTTACACAACGCTACAGAAATAATATATAAAGTTTATGAAATCAGCAGCAGCAAAAGCAAACACAAATGAAACAGAAGGAAATTATATTATAATGTTGAACATTGAGCAAACACGAAAACAAATGCTATATACATACATATATATATATATATATATATATTTATATTATTACTATTTAAATGAAAAACAAATAAGTTTGACTATTTATATGTATACACCAATTTATATACTATGCTTAAACGAATGAAGAAATGCAGAAAGCAAACACGAAACAATTTCCATAAATAGCTAAAGGAAAGTAACCTATGTGAAATATACCTATGAACTCTAAGTTAAGAATATACAGAACCTGTAGTTGTGTCCTACGCCAATCACTAAACACACGTTGATATATCTAGTGGAAGTATGTTAACTGTCTCAAAGCAGAAGAATGATTAACATAAAACTGATTCAGAAATGATATGTTAAAACTCAGTTCAAGTGTTTGTACACCTTAACGTAATAATTTGCAATATTTAAATCCGTCTATCAATGTTTTTCTGTTATTTTTTTTGGCCAACTCTGGTGGCTAAAAACCTATTAAATATTTTAAATTGTTATTAAGCAAATTATTATTTGTTGAAAGGAAAATATTTGTAAATGCATTCCAAACTAGCTTCAATTTTGTCCAAATTAAATTTGCGAAGAAAAAACATTTGTAATTACTAAGTATTATATAACAACAAATTCAGACAACGCTGGTGTAAAATGTGTTGATAATATGTTTAAATTCTAGAAAACAACAGCAACGTTTATTTAATATGTGTTATACTTTAGTGAGTATGTTGTATTAGAAATTTATTTAATTGCATCTGAGCATTCGATACGAAACTGACATCATATACGTAGTTCATTACAAGAATGTGTACATAAAGCATAATAAGTGTATGTAGAAATTTTCCTACAGCCAGACACGCTGAACTATGTTTAAATAAAACCTATATAATTTATATACAATATATTTTTTTTTTTATTACTTGTTAGGTTTGTTCAGCACTGGACCTTTATTGCCAAAATCAAACAAATTAATTGACTTCCAAATATTTTTATCAAGTCCAACCCACCACCCCCTTGTGTTTGTAACTTTTTGATGGTTATAAGGCTTCTTAAACTTGCTTCGCATCCAATGCAAATTTATTAAAATTTTTCCGCTTCTATACTTACAATAGTAGGAGTCTGTAAGCCCAGGTCATTTCAATCGAGATTATATAGCCGAAGCCATAAGCCAAATCTGACGTTAACCTTAAAATTAACCACTTAAGCAGAAAAGTATGCTATATTTTTGCACCAGCCATAATGAAATTGCATTGCTCACCAAAGTAGGCCACAGTTTAGTTAAGAATACAAATAGAAAAAGGTTGATAAGGACTTGCGGTTTATGCATCTCCTCTTATTGTTAGATAGGTGGGTCAACTCTCATAGGCAAAGATCAACGCAAATGCAATAATCGATGGAAGCAAACAATCATATATGGAATTTTCATTAAAGCTAAACCTGAACGAAAACGCCACAAAACCCAATTCTATGTAAAACTAGCAAAATTATACACTTTTAAATGACAAAACAATGTTTTATGACAATATTTATGTGCTGGTGTTCGAGCTAATCTATTCTCATACTTAGGACTAACTACTTAAAACTACAATTACCAAGATGCGTCTAGAACCTGCAGAATAAAAATTTTTTTTAGCAAACTGCGACCACTTGTTGATGTTTCTAATGAAATTTAGTAAAAAATCAATCATATTTGGGCGACACTTTCCAATGAAGCACGCTTAGAGGGTTGGCTTACCAAATCGAAATAAATCTTGTAGATAACCATAGATCGTGCAATGCAGATTATCTACAACTAAGAACTATTTATGTTTGAATTTAAATGTTACTGTGTTTCTCTTAGTTTGTGTATTCTCTCTAAAAGTAACCCTATTAAAAATAAATTAGAATACCAAGAAATGTAAGATATTTTAGTCACGATGAATTCTTACAATTCAATTCGATCCAATCTCATGGAAACGCAAACTATTTGGGTATGTAAATGCACACATTCTCATCAGAAATTGAAGTAAAATATATTGTGTATTTATAAAATTATGTTGAAAGCAACCCCAACTCCAAACAAAAAAAGAAATGAAATGTTAGTGCAAAATAAATGTGTAAATTAATATTTCGTTTTACTTTTGAGTCGGCGGGTATGATAGTGTCAAACATTCTGTGCCCCTAAAGTGAACACATATTTATCGGGAAAACGAAGCTCAATCAACAAATAGATTTTCAATTCAGCTAAGAGCCTCTAAAAATACATATTAACTAGTGATGCCGCCGTGCACTTTACGCCAGAGAGGTATGGCCTATATACCACGTCGCGACAAGAATCGGGAGAAGGATGTTTTGGCCCCGAAGCCGGTGCATCCGCGCTCCCTGCGCTTTCATGGATTTTTCGGTATGTCATATGTCCATCAACATGTGATGGTCGATGAGCGATGGACCCCCAACTCGTTGACCGAACAATTCAAGGGAATGACCGACTTGTTAAGTAAGTGATCTTTTGTGGATGCGTGGAGCCTCACTGACTGTCCATATTGAACAGCGCGCCGTTTGGTATTCAAGAATCACGAGTCGAAGGCCAATCGCCAAAGGTATTTTCGCGAGAACAAACGTCTAAAGCTGCAATGTCGCGATGGGCGAACGAAATTGCAGAATATTCTGGTTAACGACAACACCCACAAGATTCGCAACTTTCTTATCAACCACAAGGATATGCAGCGGCTGTACCAGAAGATGCCAATTCACCTAGTGGTAGACAACATTAATCAGCGAACCTTTGTAATGAGAAAGGAGCGGGATCGTCTGGAGTTTCGCTTAGATCAGTTAAAACAGCACTACAAAGAACAGCTGGTTGGTATAATTAACTTTTTAATTTAAATTTTTTTTTAAATTGAAGAATTTTATATATATTTTTTACCCAGAGGGTATTATAATCTTGGTTGGTATGATATTGTGTGCAGATTATTTGCAGACCCCAAAATCTGCCCTTCGTTTTTCATACAAAGTAGTGTTTTTTAGCTATGCAGCTTTAGAGCTTATTATACCCGTTACTCGTAGAGTAAAAGGGTATATTGTATTCGTGCAAAAGTATGTAACAGCTAGAAGGAAGCGTTTCCGACCCTATAAAGTATATATATTCTTGATCAGGGTCACTAGCCGAGTCGATATAGCCATGTCCGTCTGTCCGTCTGTCTGTCCGTCTGTCTGTCTGTCCGTATGAACGCTGAGATCTCGGAAACTATAAAAGCTAGAAGATTGGCATTTTGCATGCAGATTCTAGGAGTTCCTACGCAGCGCAAGTTTGTTTAAAAAAGGTGCCACGCCCCCTTTAACGCCCACAATCGCTTATATACGATTTTAAAAATTTAAATATTTCGGAAAAGTAAAAATGCAGTTTTATTGTGTTTATCAATACCTATCGAAATGTTGAAGAAATTTTTCAAATCGGACCATTCGTTAAAAAGTTATGCGTGATCAAAGTTTCTATCTCCATCTCCCTCGCACTCCCTTTACCTGAGTAACGGGTATCTGATAGTCGGGGCACCCGACTATAGCGTTCTCTCTTGTTTTTACTGAAAACATTTGTTTAAAAACATTTTCCGTAGCTCCGGCGTGCCCTTCTGCAGAATCGCATCAAGTATCAAAACGAATTTATTCTTGACGAGGAGCTTAAGTCACGGGTTTTCCTCAAGAAGATCGAGAATTCGAATGTGCGCCTAAAGGCCATCAAGACCATAAACAATACGTATAAGAAGATGATTCAGGTGCTGGTCCATGACGAGATATTTTACGAGCCCATCTTGCGTTCGCTCAGCAGTGACATGGATGATCAGTCAAACTTCATAAAACATATTCTATTCCTGGGGATGCCGGCCATAGCGAAGTTCAAGGAGCTCAACGAAGAGTTCAGGAACATGGAGGAGAAGTCCCGCAAGAATCTGCAGATCAAACTGCAAATGTTGGCATCGCTTAAAAAGCCGGCGGGCACATCGATCGTTAATTTTAATAAGCCCAAGGAGGCGCCACCGACCACGAATCTGAAGCGATATGTTCGCGAGACTCAGAGTATGATGATCCTAAAACTAGAGCTCAAGGCTGTGGAGAAGACTATCAAAGAGGTCAAGTTTGTGACTCTCTGTTCCCAAGCTAAGGAAATTTATCCACGGTCTGTTGAAACTAACAGGTTTTATTTCGAATAAATTATATGTCCCTCTCCCAGAATGAAGAGCCAAGTGGACAACAACGACAAGCTGCATCGCATGATTGTCAACGACATGCTGGCTCACGAAATGCTGGAGACTAAGATGAAGTGTGCCAGTGTATTGAAGGGGGTGCTGGTAAACAATCTTTCAGAGGAAGAGATCAAGTGGGTTATCAAAACAATATAAATAGGTTCTTATCTTTGCTATTATTATAGTCGACTGGAGCGCATCAAGGACCTAAAAAAAATGCTGCAGAAAGATATCGAATTCGAAGATGATACTCTGCAACATCTTAAAAATAGAGCTGATGCATATGTTATGTTAAGGTAAATTATTTTTTGGTTTTCATTTTTATTTTGATTTTCTCACCTCATCTTGTTCTAAATAATTAACTAAATAATACAAATATTTTGAACGGATTTCTAAATTCTAATAGAAAATAACGGAATAACCATAACTGCTTTTTCTAGAGTAAGCATTTGGAATCTGTTGGAAATTTTGCGCCATGTTGATCGCCAGCCCAAATTGCTACGTGCCCAGTATCCAAACTCCTACTTGAAGCTTCCGCTGCTCAAATTCGAAATGCTCAACATGAGGGCCGCTGCTCCAGAGATATTCGAGGAGAACAGTTGAGCCGGCATACACAGCCAATCAAAAGCCATAGATCTAACATACACTCCCCGCAGTTGATAACATAATGCATATGGTGAAGCGGAAGATATACAAGCTCATGAAGGCCTACGCAGTTGAGCTGAAACCGACGACCATCAAGCGAAACTTCGAAGAATACCATGCCGATTTCTTGGCCAGTCTAGATATGTTCGAGCCCGTGGATACTGAAGAGCAGGCGCCAACAGCTCCGGAGGACGATATCCTGCAGGAGAACAAGACCATGGCGAATGTGCCCAATCGCAAACAGATCAAGGCCCAAAGTGCCAAGCTCGTGGAAGAGCTGGCCAAGCGGGATGAAATGTAAATGTTTCGTTTAGTATTTATGTTAAAGCTACCAAAATTTTTAAGTCAGTTAAATTCTGCATGTTGAAACACAATTCCAAGTGCCTACCATTGGTGGTGGCCAACAAAAAGTAATAAATCGTGAGTTTTGCATTGGCGAAATACCGAAAATGGAAGCGCTGCCTGTAAGTAATCGCCATCATATAATTGATCCAACATTGCAGCAAACACGGCTTTGTTGCTGCTATCTTGGATTGGATCGAGTTAGATTGCCTCAACTTTTGGCTTTAGTCGACGCCCTGCAGTTTCCCGGTAGGCCCAATAATTGCGAGGAAGAATTATTGTTTCATTGCTCCATCTTATAATTTGGGAGTTTCCCTGTTTGATTTGTGGGTTTCGTAAGGTGTGAATGGGTCGGTTTGAATATGATGCGAACAACCTTCTATAGGTAGCTTAAGCCCCATTCGTTGGGCACATTATCGGTCCATCTCGGAATGCATCAATAGAGCCATTAATCATTTCCTGGCCTATCCACAGCTATTTCCTGTCCAGTCTTTTGCCCAAAAAAGGTCAGTGGTTGTCATAAAAGTTTACTCGCTCAACCGCCGGCGGATGGAATAATCTGGCCGAAATGAAGTTGACTGGAGATGGGCTATGGCCTGTCATTTTTTCTGTCGTAGAGGAGCGCGCACGCTTCCATTCCAATCCGCTGTACACTTGCCGACTGCCTTCCTATCTATCTGTGCTGTTATATCTGCGTACACGATATCACGCCGACTTAAAAAACCCTGGCACGGGAGCACGCGAGCCCATAAGCCGCCAAATGAGGTTATGCAAGTCTCACATTATTCGCGGGCCACCATGTTTATTCATATCCACACACTCAAACATATCCACGTTTGCCCGATGCGGTTATTGTCATTGTTCCCCCTGAAAAAGCCAGACAAATTGGGAGCTGAAAGTGTTTTGGCCAAGCGATGGTGTTTTGGTGGCTGCCCTTAAAAGTCAATTTTGTGGTCAGCTTTCAACACTTGAATGAAATGCTTTTCTATGGTGTAGAAAGGTTTTCAATGGTAGGTGTTCGCGGTCAACTTGTTGTGTAAATAAAGTAACTGAAAGAAAAACAAAGTGCATTAAATAAAGTTAATGCAAAAGACCAAATACATTCTCAGCATTGTTTTTGCACTGATTCGAACACTTAAATAATCAAAAGCATATCATTTAAAGGCCACATTCAGTCAGTATAATAAATCATAAATTCATGGAAATACCCACAGCAAAAATCAATTAAATCAATTGGGCAATGAGAATAATTATACTCGGAATCAATCAATTCGATTCAATTTTAAAATGGGGGCTTCTGGTTTGCCAATTAGAGAAATCTGTAGATTCTTGTTTTGAGTGGATTCTCTAAAAATGTAGCTTTTAGCTTTAGCTTGGCCATCTTTTCACATGACCCACTCCAGGATCAGCTACGTGATTGGGCCTAACAAATGGCTAATTTGAACATCGTAAATCTTCATAAACGAAACGATGAAATTGCCTGGGCTACTACGACTGTCTTCAAGTAGTCAAAACCTATTTAACCCGCCACTTTGCACTCCTGCCCCAAAATGACGCTGTGGCCTGCACAGTTCCTGTAGTCATCGCTCAAACGGTTGAGAGTTGCAACATTTTAAGAAGCCACAGCCCAACGGCAGCCGTTCGTTCGTCCAATAATTATGAACCTTCTTGGCTGTTGGCGGCAGTTTGTGTTTGAAATTATTCGCATAGTAGCCCCAGCATCGTGGCAACAACAATTGGTAGTCAGTCAACTTAACGCGGTCTGCGAAACTAGCCAATTTAAGTTCGTTTCTGGCGGCTGAGTCGTGGCCAACGTTTTTCTTTCCTTTTTCTAGCTTTGTACAATTTGTAAAACGAAGACGAACTACATGGAGAAGGAAGAAAACTTGTGATGCTAATGGCTGTGATGAAAATGTATTACCCTTACTCAAAAGAATTTGAATTATTTTGTGCTGGTACAAAAATAAATTTTTCGAAATCAAAGAAAAAGTTATTGAAAGGGTAAGTTCGTAGAAAAGACGAAAATTTACCAAAATGATATATGTCGGTATCAAACAATTATATTATTAGTTGTCAGACAAAGGAGCGAAAAATGAATATAACTTCGATGTCTTTAGTATGTACGCATATAACTCGATATATAGTTATATTTACGATTTCTCAAATATTAATTTATTTTTTATAAAATCGACCAAAATATCATGTAGCTGACACAGAACGACCGAAAAATGTAGCGGAAAATTTACATATCTTAAGATATTGTCGTTAGTCATGATATTTTTGTTTAATCCATTAAAACATTTTTGATACAGCTGTAAGGATATGTCAAGTTCGGTTTGACGAAGTTTTGTTCCTTTCCAGTTTTTAAAAATACGCAAAATGTACATTGTAAATGTATTCTAGTATTAAAATTACAAATGTATCTAATTAAAAAGTTTCTTAGCTATAATACTACAATGCAGAACTACAATAAATATATGGTAAATTGACAATGAATTGCAAACTACTGAAGTATATTTAAAATTTTTAAAAATCTGCAAAAAGTTTTTGTTTTGACTAGGGGAAATAACTAAAGGTATAAGAAAACTTAAAATAAATAAAAGTAATTTAATATTTCGGCATAGTGCTAGTTAGAGCACCCCTATCGAGAGTATAGTAGGATTTACTGCATCGCATGCAGCACCCCCAGGAAATTATCTTGTCAATGGCTGCGCTTCAATTGCAGTCCAGCCATTGTTGGGCCTGGGCTTGGGCTCCGGCTTGGACCAGCTCCTCTACATCTGGCTCTGCCTGGGATGGACAGTAGCCCGGACCTGGTTGGCAGTTCCCTTTTTTTTCGAGCTCGTTTTTGAGGTGTGTTCCTGTAAAGCCCATGATTTCAACCATATTTCTTCTTCATTTGCTGGCATAATTTACATATGGTTATATAAGCTAAATTCGAGGAGGCAACCCATTGCAAAACTTAGCTCCAACTGATGCAGCATGTTTTATTTAATTGCCAGCGAGTCATACCAAGAAAACCGAAGTAGAGAGAGCTCGAAAGCAAGTACACATGTAACCGTTAACATCCATTTATATATCCCCATGCAATTGTTGATTTGTGGGGCAGACAGTTTTGTCTTTTGTTCGTGGTCATTGGGTGCGTATAGGTTTCCTAACGTGTTTCCCCTTTCAAGGGGCCCAGCATGTGGCCTGAATATAGTTATCGACGCAGTGATGCTCCTAACAATCATCATTAAATAAAGCTTATAATTTGTCAATGCTTCTGCCGAAATAATATACATTGGGCTTGCTCTAAATAAATCTTTGAAATAAATTGGGTTGATGTGCGGTAATGTCCCAGAGCAGACGTCAAAGCAGCGATCAATTTGGGCTATTATATCACCTGCAGAACAATATCAACGAGCAGGTTCAAGTCTTTAGTGGACATTCCCATTTCTTTGGCCCAGAGCCCGGCTACAGCCGGCAACAGAACAAAAGTTATTAATAAATCTGTGTCACTAGCAGAACTCAGCACAAAAAAAGACAAACAGAAATAAAATTAGATAAATACAATTCAAATCATTCAAGATTATGCAATTTATAGCAGTAAATGAAAATATCAAACACGCAAGCGAATGAAGCTAACAATTCAATACAAAAGACTTGGACAAAAAACTTGTTTTGGTTCTAAGCGTAGAACAAGTTTAGGCGAATCGCGGCGAAACTTTCCCAGCGTCGGAAGACTTTTTGCCGAACTGTAAATTGGCTGGCATGCATATTGTAATAGTGTCATTTTGTCTTGGCCCAGTCATCTGCCTAATTAACAGAGCTTCATAAATATTCAGCAAATCGTAGATAAGAACTTCTACCAGTTGCTCAGACTTCCAGAGTTTCACGTTCCGTTCGTGTTGTGCCGCCATTAAGGCTTCTACCCTAAGCCTCTGGTTCTTGGAGTCTGAGCCCAAAAGTGTTTTGAAACCACTCTCTATAAATATGGATTTCTCAAGAGCTTGCTGTGAGACTTTGGCCGGAGCGTTTTTGACTAACAACCGATTATTTTAATTAACTTTTATTATAAAAGACAAAAGACCCAACGCCCACATGCCAATGGCAACGAAAATGCCCAAAAATATATATTTTTATTCCGGCGATTATGCAATTGTTTGCTTAACCAGCTGCTGTTCTATGCAAATGTTTCTACATTATCTCCCCAGCAAGTATACAGCTGCAGTTATCGGCTATGTTGGTTACAACAAGGGTCGACCTCGGACGACCTCAGGCATAGATTCCAGCCTTATCCACGCCCTGCCCACGGATTTACCCTTCAGCCAGCCACTGCAATTGTAAAGTTACAGCGCGATAGTGCAAACATTAGACACTTCATTTCATTTGGTTTGCCGTCGCGTCTGTACGGCTTTCAATACCTCAATTAACCCATCATGGACATGCACAGCTTCTGTATGCTGCTTTGTTTTGCGTTGACTTCGGGCTTTGTTTTGCTTTGGCATCTCCGAGATGCCTATCAAGGCAACACTTACACGTCGATCTACAATTTCCGAGATCCGAGATAGTAGCATGTGGCTGGTTACGTCTTGCGCCCAGAATTTTGGGTGTCATTGAAGAGTCGTGAATCAGTTAAAGTTCTTGCAAATAATTGAAAGGTTCCGCGACTGTGGCATACTTAAAACAACTAACTAGCCTAAAATAACTCCATTACCATGGGCAGTGATATAAGGAAGTATTTACTTAACTATGTGAAATATTACCCATTCAACAATTGAAAATTATATTCTCAGAAACTGTGGTAAAAATGATTGGGCCAATTTACCAATCCATTTTCCAAAAGATTTTATAGTATTATTGCTATGAAATACTTTTAACACATTTTAATATATAAAGCTCAAAAGCCTAAATAGACCAATTATGTTAGCTGCAAAATGTGGAATTTATTACACAATTAAGCGAGATATATCGAGAAACTTTTCGTTTTTTTAGTTACGCTGCGAATGTTCTTATTCTAGTCAAAGTTCTTGATGACCACCTACAAGATTTGTAAATCCGATACTATCTCTGAATCGACACTGATTGAAGCCATCCCGCTGGCTTCTGTACATCAAATGACAAATTGCCGGGGGAGACTCGATGGTCTGGAGCTGCAAGGGCATCAATAAGAACATTCAAACACTTCAAACGTCCGTAAAGTAGCCAGTTTGCTTAGGATCTGTAGTAATTATCTAGGAAAGAATCGAAATAAGTGCGAATTATGAAAGGGGATCTGGCACTTACCGGCCAGATGTTGATGGGGCTCCGAGTCCAGCTGTTTGTTGGCAGCTTCGTCCTCGATATGGTCTCCGCCAGCCCGGAATCGTTGAGGTTCCACGGGAGGATATGTGGGCTGCTGTTTCTGATCAAACTGTTTGGGTTCCTCCTTTTCGGCTTCTTCTGGCTGCTGTTGAGGTTGCTTTCCCTGGCAGCTGAAAAATCTAATCCAAGTGTGTGGTCGGAAGTAAGGACGTCCCTGGTTGGGTGGCTCCTCAGCCAGGGATCTCCCCGAGTTGTTGGCGTTTTTATCCCGATGCAGGTGCCGGTGGTGGAGGTGCTGGTGCTGCTGCTGCATGCGGCTTACGTCCTCTACGACGAACAGGATGCCGGCTACAATGAGCAGGGCTACCGAGAGCAAGGCGAAGAAGCACAAGAGATCCTGCAGCAGGGTCCTCAAATAATCAGGACTGCCCGATCGACGATCGGCAGGCGTCTGGCTCTCGGCCTTGGAAAGATCCATGAGCAAAGAATTTTGAACTGCCCTAATTTGTACAAAATTTGATTTTTACTTTTTATTAAGGAATTTGGGATTACATAGAGGTGTTATCTGCTCAACTGACCATGTAAAATAAAGCACTTTGGGCTGAGCTCGGCTGACGTTGACTGGATTTCAAATACCTCGCCTACTGTCTCGAACTTTATTTTTTTCGGGGCTTTATTGGCCTTCTTGCCTTTCTCATGATAAGCCCAACTTTCCCAACATCTATGGCAATTGGTGTAATTGAAACTCTTTAACGGCAATCAACATGGCGTTTGATGTGATTGAATTATTGGACACTTAAATAGGCGGCCCTCAGCCAAACGCAAGGCAGCAAAATCGGGCCGAATGGTATAGTCTTTGGCTCATTTTCCTATTTTCACACTTTGGGCTCCGCTTTCCTCTGCTCCTTGTCTCTCATTTGAAGCGTTGGACTGTCGACCTGGGGAAGCCTAACGTATCACTCAGTGCTAATGAAGATGTCTTCCCCAAAACTGGAACCGAGTCCGTGGCAACGCTGCCAGGCCTGGCAGTTCATTAGTCAGGAAGTGTTATACATGATGCAGAGACTGTCCGTCCATACATGTTGGGGGAATTGAGGCTTTAATTTGATTATATAGACTCTAAAAAGGGGAAGGCATAGGTATTACACAACGGGCTTTCAGTGGTTCATTAATGTCCCAACCCGGTTGTGATTTATTTTGCTGCAAAAGAAACTTTGGAAAAGTAGTTAAATATATTCCTTTATTTAAACGATTAGCAATAAATTTTATTTAATGAACAAAAATACACTGAATTTAGTAAAAATGCTATTAAAGTTGTTAATTATTTATATGTATTCTTATTGGCACACACTATTTTTGATAGTTAAATATATTTATCAAGATTAGAAAGGTCGTCATAACATAAACAATTCGATTATTAGGTACTTTTCAAGTCTTGATAACAACGAATCCCTACGTGGCTTAGTTATTATTATTATTATCATATTTAACATCACCCATTTTGTTTGATTTAAGGAAATTCAAGTGAAGAGCTTTGGCTGAAAATAAAACCACCAAATTTAATTTCCGCAAAACGTTTTCAATCAGTTGGCCGAAATCAATTAAAAGGCAACTGCAAATGCTCAGTTATACAATCAGAGTTGTAAATTGTAAATGCCCCCACTGTGTGACGCTCTGCAACTGATAAGGCCACCTCCCCCTGGAGCGGAGGAAAACCAAAAGCTCTGGCGAACACAACAATGGCAGCGGAGACATTACATAACCTCCAGATGCCAGGGCAGGCACAATAACCTACAAATGCAACCTCCACTAACCGACTGAACCCAGGCCCAAAAGGAGAAGAAGTAAAACTCAAGACTAAACTGCTGAAAATCCAACGTAATACAGTTTGAAGCTTCTAAAGAAAATAAAAAAACAAAACCTGAGCGGGAAAATCATTGGGTCGAGTTGTGTGTGGGAAATTGCGACAACGACAAATAAATTACCGCAACGCTTAAGGTCAAGCGATTTGCGCAGAAATGAGGCATATAGAAAACATATTGCTGCGATCGCTGCCTTTCTGATAACCAAAGAAATGAATAGGCCCTCGACTGCTAACTGCCGGCTGATACACAGTGATGCTAACTGGCTAGGTACAAGCTTCATATAAATTCGGTTGGAACAGATTTTCTATTATTATTTAAATAGGTTTAAATCTTTGTTATTTTAAAAAAAAATTAATTTTAAGTCTATCCAAAGAAGATAAATAAAAGAATTTCGTTATGTATAAAATTACTTTTTGCAAACATTTTGAATGAGTTTCGAAATATGAAATGTCTTTTTAATTTGGATTTCTCCATTTGTATTTTTCCGATTTCATATTAAGGCTCTCGTTTGTAATCTGTAAAAGAAAGAAGGCATGAATTTAAATTATTTGGGAACACGAGTTTACAAGTTTTTACAGAGTCAGTTGTCAGAGCCACGAATCGTTTAGAAACTCGTGCTGCCAAACCTAAAAAAAAGGATACGATCCTTTCTTTTAGGATTTGAAGAATTTTCGGTAAAATATTAATTCTTTTTTTTTTTTTTTAATATTAGCTACTTGTAGTTTTGTCAATTTCTTATAGGCACCCTGGGCAAAACTGTAGTACCTTTGTCATCACTGCCACCGAGTGCCAGTCTGTTAGACTGCCGACGAATCGTGGCTACCTCAATTGCTGCGGGGTCAAATGGCGTTGAGGTAACGAGGCGAGCTAAATCATCGACTTCAACTGGGAGTCAACACGTGCAGAGTGTTCCAAGCCCCCGGCTCAGACCTGGGCTGCGAATCTCCGGCTCTGGAGTCGCGCAGCTCCGCCAGAATTGATTGCCACTTGGGAAGGCCATTTCGGCTGCTTTTCTAGCGCGTTTGTACAAATAAATCAAAAGAATTTTTTTAAAATTGCACACCACGGCTCTGCGCCATGATTTAAGTGCCGGCGAAGGCCCTAGCGCTTGTCTGACATTAGCCATCCTCCCTGGGAGCGCCCGGGTCTGAGCAAATCAAGGTGTTAATTTAGTGGTGAGACATTTTGGGATGGCTCTCGGTAGTTGGCAATCAATTAAATTCGCATTAGTCTGTCGATACGGGTCCGCTATCTAAAGAACTGATCCTCACTTCATTTGATTGAGTATGCAAATTGTAGAAGCAGTTATTAAGAAAGTTTGTGTTAACTAAATCAATAACAGAATATAAAGTATATTTACATTCGAATGAATTACGTGGGTGAAATTGTTTGCTGATGACTAATCAATTATAAACTATTAAAAGCAGAATAATTTAATACTTGTAATTAAACCTTTTTTATTGGTATTAATAGAATATAATTCTAAGTAACACAGCGCAATACAGAGAACATAAAAGCAGAAAATATAAAAATGTGCTTATCCTAGTTAAAAACCAATTTGGTTCCTTTGGCTTAGCTCGGGTTTAAAGCGAGGTATGTTGTACTTAAGGTCCTTAAATTGATGAACCCAGAGTAACTTGACAATGTTAATTGCCGGACAGTACCAACCTACAAACAGTTCCACTACATAAAACGTTTGTTTTATTTTTAATGTATTTCTTTTTTATACCAAAGGAACCTAGACTCTTCCTTTTTTAAGGAATTCGAGGTCGATCAATTTCTGGTACTTCGGTCGAAATTGCTAGACAAATCTTTAAAACTCTAAGCATTTTTAACCAACGATATAAAGATTCTTGAGATCTATTTAGCAAATTTGTTTGTTTCTATTAGTATACCCTTGCAGAGGGTATTAAAACTAAGGGACGGTCGGATAGGCGGACATGCCTAGATCGACTCTTCTGGTGATGCTGATCGAAAATGTCTCCTTCACTGCGTTGCAAACTTTTGACTGAAATTATAATACCCTCTGCAAGGGTATAAAGATAACGAAATAAATTAAATTTTTTTATCTTATCTGTGATGCTGATTAATAAATAATGCCTAACAGTTAGTAGTATATTAAATGTATATTCTATTAAATTTAAAAGCCTTGACCGATATTGAAAACAATTTTTTTATTTATTCAGATATGGCCAGTAATCGGGGCTTACCCGTTCTCTTTTAACCGAACCGAAGACTTGCCCTTTTCGATGAGGTGAATGCCTGGCCAGTTTCATAACCCATTTCGATAGGTTGTAACTAGCAGCCAGTTTCGGCTATGGTCTTAATGCCTTCATGTCTTCATTTCACCCACCGCCGCCACAAGATTGTGTTAAAATTTTATTTTTGCATAATTGAAAAAACTTAACAACTTTACCAAAACAAATTTTACGTTAACTGTGCGAATTTTGTAATTTCGCTCGCGTGCACATTTCGTTTACCGCGCCAACCTGACCCGTTCCTTGGCTAAAAAACATAAGCCCAAGAAAAGCTAAAACATTATTACAACAAGCGGCGTGATTTCCGGAAGTTGAAGCGCAACAAAGGCGCCTGCGCCTGCGCAAATGTCGTCGTTGCTGTCGAATTGATTGTTGCCGTTGCAGTTGTTGTGGCAGTTGCTGCGGAGAAGCAAGGAAAGTCGTGCAGCAACAGCTGCGACGGCAGCCCGCAAAGTTGCCGTCCTGCCTTCGTGCGAATAATGTCATTTGTGTTTGTTTTATAACCAAATTTACAACAACTTGCCACTGTCGACGGGAGCAGCATCCACAACGGCTCGGGGGGTCTCAACATAATTGCTCCAATCTATGTCAATGGGCAATCTACAAGAACCCTTCTTGTGCCGTTTAAGGATTTCCACGACTTTATTGTGTCTGGTCTATTTCAGAAAAATGAGTATCAAATTGCAGTCAACTGGCATATAGTAAATAGGAAATAAGTTGAACAAATTCTTTGAGCCAACACCTGTCGGTCCGATAACACAACAATTTATTTAACAACTTAAGGATATGATACTCTTACTTTGTTTTTAGCCGTATCTACATTTCCAGTATCTACATTTACAAAAAGTTATTTATAAAGATTTTGATACCTAAGCTTCTAGAAAATAATCTCATTGAAGAAAAAATAATTTTAAAATGCTTTTGTTTTCCTCTTTATTGATTTCAGCCTACAAGTTTTTCCCCTTAGTTTACCTTAAACTCAATTTCTTCTAACTCTCTTTTGCAACTTTCACCAATGTTAGAAATTTTCCAATCAATAACATATCTTGCAAAATACGTTTATTATACTTTTACCTAATCAATTAGAAGTAGCTAAAAGCAAAAAAAAAAGTTTCAGGGTCAGAAGTTATGTAATCTTTTAATACCACAAAACACCGGTGCTTTAGAAAAAGAAAAGAAAAAAGTTAATTCCTCATTAATATGTTTTTTCTTTAGCTACGTGATTGGTGCCCACACGATCTTACATAATAATTATAGAAATAAAGCTGTCGTGGCTAACATAAATTAGCATTATAGAAAATAGAAAGGTCTAGCCTTCTTTGTCGGACCCAAATAGTGTCCAAATGGTGTTTTTGCCCTCGCATCCTATTCACACACTTGAATATTCTTTGAGCTGTTGATGATCGTAGCTAATTTTATGCCAGGTCTCGTTGGATTTCATAAATCTTTGATGTGGCGAAATTTCGTCCAAGTGGCGAAGGCATTAAATTAATGTTCTAACATAAATTTATAATTCATGTTTAAAGGCCAGGCCAACACTTTTGTAAAAAATTATGGCTTTGTTTTGGCAACCGCCAGCAGAGGTTGATTTAATGACCTTTTTAAAATGCTGATGCTGATGCCGGCGTAGACACAGGTACTCTTATTAATTATTTTATTGGCAGACGTTTTATAAATGCTTCTCTGACAGGAAGCGCTAATTAGGGTTTTATTTTTTCCTGCTCTTCGTGGTTAATTAATTTTGTCATGCATTTATAAATTGCTGTTTAATTTTTGATCCTTTGACAATTGCTTTTGCTTTACAAGGCCATATAAATTATCTGAGTGAATTTTCGAGACAGTCACAAATAAAGTGCAGCTCTTCAGCATTGATGTCTTAATTTCAGAATACATTTACATACCTCGGCTTCGCTTCACGCACTTCACTCGCCACCTGACCTTTCAATTAATCATGGCTAGCATAGGAATCTGTGGTAGCTTTTGCTGTCAGACACCCTATAAGACATGTTTTTCATTTGCCGCCTTATTTACCATAACATTTTCACACCGTCAGTCAGGTTTTTTGGAAGTAAGCCAATGTCTATGAATATTTAAGTATTGTTGTGTTTAACCACGTTTAAAATGCAAAAAGTGTTTGTGCATATATTAAAAGCCTTATTTTGACAAAAGTTCAATCAACTTTGGACCAAATTATTTTAGTTTGCATAATGCAAGGGACAGCAGAATACGCTGTTATGCAAACGCCTCGAAAAAGAACCAAATCATTCAATCTCACTGTCTGCCCTTCTCCACAGCTGATTGTATAATATTTTCGTTCAAAAGAAATGCGGAATTCGGTAAGCGCCGATCGCCATTCACAAAATTAGAGCATATAAACATTTAACCAATTTTTCAAACTTAATGAAATCGACTTCCAAAAAACACAATAGCAACTCAACAGCCGAACAATAACGAAATCAATATTTGCAATGACACAATAAATAAATCGAGGAATAATTTCTCTCGCAATTGCGCTGCTGTCATCCCAAAAAACGTAGGTTATCAAAGGAGATCACTGGGTGAGTGGCACTCGGCCCGGCGCTAATTGTGAGTTATGGAAGTTGAATTCGGAGTTGCTACCGTTGGCCAACAACAAGAAATGACATTTCGGCCAAATGGAAAATTGCGTGTTAATAGTGATGCAGGGCAGACAATGGATTGCCCGGCTTTCTTTCAGCCGATCAAAGCCACACAATTGGCATCCGTGTGGCCACAAATCAAATGCTCGTAATCGCAACAATGAGCAATTGTTGGCATTAGCCGCGATTGTTTGGCCAACTCGGAGGCCTCTTTTCTCGATCTGGATCGGGCACCACCGACTTCCGACAAGTCATCCAGGGCTGACCCATCAGCCCGCCCGAGTGATTATCAACTTAATCAGCAGCGGCTAATTGCAGTCTGCCGCCGCAGTTGCACTTAGCTGCAATAAGTGCAGCTAAGTTGGAGTTGTTACAAATTTCCGCCTGTCAGCAGCGCGGCTAGATCCCGTTTCCAGCGAGTGACAGAAAAACGTGTGAAAATTATGAAACTGCTTTTTGATGCAACGTCTGCGGGCAAATGGATGTGGATGGACTCCCGAAATAAGAAACTCCCCCACTCAAAATGTGAGCATTTGCCTGTGCTTCTGTGGACTTTGCGACTGCAGCTCCGACTTGGCATTGTTTGGCTTGCCACCGTCTCTGGAGATCCGAGCGAGATTTGTGTGTCCTGTCATAGAGATCAAATTTTCTTTTCTCCTCGCTGACATCGCAGCCGCTTAATTTGCGCTGAAACTGCATTTGCAGCGCTCCAAAAGTACCCGTCGTTGTAGAAAAATAAATAATTTTTATTGTGTTGAATTTATGAGTCATTGTTTGGCTCTTTGGATCTTCGGATGCTTGCCGTTTGCCTTCGCCGGCTTTATCTTCTACGCTTTTGCGAGTTCATTAATTCTGCATCGCAGCGTAATCGCATGGAAAACGGGTGGGCAAAAGAGTTTTCTTGTTGTATTGGAGCCTTATCACAGCGAGATACAGTGGTGACGAACCCTCTCACTAACAGCAGAAGGCAAAAGAAATGTTTCCATTGAAATTGGAAATTTAATTGTGAAGAACCTAATATTATTAAATAATTGTTCGTTGCATATTAAAATGAAAATTTAATTCTATATGTTATTTTTAAAAAAGAGGTATTCTGTTTTTCCATTTCTCCTAAATTATTTTACTTTAATTTTTGTGTAATTCAATCTAAGAGATTGGGCGAGAACTCTTGAGAAAGGTAGTTATGTCAGAAATTAAGTTTTATATGAATTCAAATTTTTAAATATTTGAATTTGGAAATATGTTAATCTCAATCAATTTTTTTTGAAAGAACAAGCTATCTTTAAAAATTTGTTTTTAAGAAGTCGATTTGACATTGACTATTAATATTGAAAATATATTGAAAAAGGCTGTCATCAAAATATTTAATTTAAGAGTTAATTTCTAAAAACAAAGTATTCGTAACGTTTAGCGTTCGTCACGCATCGCTCACAAAACTCTCAAGATGCAATTAGTTTTGCTTGCCGATGATAAATTTTAAAACTTTGTTGGTAAACATGTAGTTACTTTTTATTCTACAGCTTATCTTTGGGGAATAATTTAATAAAATTAATAGTATTATCTCTCAGCAAGAAGATTTTAATCGCATTCAAATACATTTAACTTAATAATAGCTACAAGTAACTTATGCCTATCCATTCACATTTTCGCGATTATCAATCACAAGATCACAGCCCCGAGACTTTCTCCCAACGAAACTAAATTAAATTTCTCTTGCCATAGGAAAAGCCGCAATGCTCGAAAATTGAATTAAGTTCAAGAGTTCAGGATGAGCGGTTGCCGCTATTGTGCCAGAAATTATTGAATAAGTACGCTTGACATGGGCTCATTTTGGATCCCTCAGCTTATGCAATGGGCTCGCATCGCCAAAGAAAGCAACAATATGGCGTGGTTGGGCACGAGGTTCATGTCATCAGTGCGTCATCAGCTTTCCTTTGGTCTCAGGCAGAAACAGTCCCAAGACAATGAATCCAAAGAAGCACATTCCAGCCGACATGAACATGGTGGCAGCCAGGCCCTGATCGTAGATCATGGTGGGATAGATTTTTAGAGCTACAAAAATGAATGCACTGAAAGTGGCCATGCTCAAGGAGGTGCCAATGGAGCGGATCTGCAAAAAGACAGGAAAATTAAACTATAAATTTTGAAGCCAAATGTTAAAAATATGCACTTAATGTGCGATCTATAAATATTTTCAGCTGGCATTATTTTAAATACTAATCTAGAAGCAAGAACATTCATTTAGCTATTCCAGTCCATGTATATTTGACCAAGTTTACAGCATACATATTCCCTTTCATATTAAATGGCAATCAACCAGGATATGAACATGTTTTGTGCCGACATAAAGGCCTCCTTTTTCCTACTTTACAATTTAAATTAACAATTGCAAGAACACTAACAACTGACTATGTTTTTTGTTTCCAATCCGAAACACTCACCTTAGCTGGCAGCAACTCAATGATGATTATGAAGATCAGGGCTATGACGCCCAGCGATGCAATACAGGCCACAAGGCACATTATGACCAAGGGAAGCCATCCATTCTGGTCCAGGAACTCGTCCGATGCGAAACACTTCAGCAGAGCAATGGCCAGCTCGCCCAAGCCCATCCCACCCATCGAGGTGAGCAGCAGGATGCGACGTCCCAGTCGATCCACCAGGGCCACGGCACTGAAGATGCCCACCAACTGGGCAGCTCCCACTACGATGGTGCAGGTGTTCGGGTCCAGTTTGTTGCCCAGCTCCGCGAAGATGTGCGACGTGTAGTTGAAGATGGCAAAGCTCCCCGACAGCTGATTGCTGATGATCAGCACAAAGATCAAGCCGAATACCTTCAGAGTAGGTGCGTTGACTGCAAGAGTACAAAAAAATAAATAAAATAATTGTGTATAAGGTTAATCAGAAGAATAATATATCAGATAAAGCACTGTACTTCTGTGTGATATTGATATGACTTTCTGCTTAGTCCGGGTGATCATTCAAGTTTGTTCACATAAAACCCCTTATCTCACTTACTAAAATCTCGCCAAGAAATGCTATCGGTAACGCCGCCACTGAGAACCTGAAGGCGAAACGAGTCGAACTCCATTTTGGCCTCGTCATGGCTAGAAGCCTCCTTGTCAGAAGAAGTGGGGGGCGTCAGATTCTTATAGAAGTAGAAGGACTTCTCGGCCTGGTCATCGCGGCCACGCCTCAGCAAATACTGTGGTGTCTCAGCTAAGCCAATGATTGCCAGCATAAACACCACTGGCAGGGCGACGATAATGCACGGCATCAGATGATACGAGAGATATGAGGCCAATGTAAAGCCCACCATCATGCCGATGCTAACGTACATCATGGCCATGGATGATAACGCTCCGCGAACGCTGGAATAATGGTTTTTATTTATTATTTTAGTGAAATATTTATATATCAATTATATGTAGCTACCTATAATATAATTTAATTGTATTTTTTTAGGATTTTGAAATAACTATTCTATTCTACCTTTATTGTCAATCAATTGTATTCTTATTATACCCTTGCAGAGGGTATTTAATTTCAGTCAAAAGTTTGCAACGCCGTAAAGGAGACATTTCCGACCCTATAAAGTATATATATATTCTAGATCAGCATCACACATCTAGCCATGTCCGTCTGTCTGTCTGTCCGTTTCTACGCAAACCAGTCCCTCAGTCTTAAAGCAATCTGCTTGAAACTTCCCAAAAGTTGTCTTTCTATATAAGTCGGTAGTACGAGCCGGATCGGGCTACCATATCATATATCTTCCTTTGCAACAAACGGAAAAAAAATTAAAAAGTATACATTTGTTGCTTTAGGTTTTTATACCCTTGCAGAGGGTATTATAATTTTGGTCAGAAGTTTGTAACGCAGTGAAGGAGACGTTTCCGACCCTATAAAGTATATATATTCTTGATCAGGATCAATAGGGGAGTCGATATAGCCATGTCCGTCTGTCCGTCTGTTCTTCTGTCCGTCTGTCCGTCTGTCCGTCTGTTTCAATACCGTTTGCGAGCTCAGTTTAAAAGCTAGCGATCTGAAACTTTCACACTCGTCCTAAAACATGTGTACGCAGATCACGTTTGAAAATCGTCCCGATCGGACGTCTATATCCTATGGCTCGTCTATATCCTATGGCTCCCATAGGAACAATCGGATATATCTTGCAAGAATTGATGATATTTCGAGCAGTGTAAAAGCTATTGACATGAATCTTTCCAAATCTTATTTTTTTATGCATACCTTGATCAGGGTAAAAGCGCTTGGCGATCGGACGTCTATATCCTATAGCTCCCATAGGAACAACAGGGTGAAATCGGTCCAAATTTGTTGGTTTTCTGAATTTTTCGCGTAGCTACTGACATACATTTTTCCAAGTCTTATTTATTTACGCATATCTTGATTAGGGTAAAAGCGCTTGCCGATCGGACGTCTATTTCTTATAGCTTCCGTAGGAAAAATAGTTAAAGGCTGCGAAAGTATCCCTTTTTTTCCATTTTTATATGACATTTTTGCAGTATAAAAGCAATTGACATCAAACGACGCAAATCTAGTTTATTTATGTATACCTTATTCCTTTCGCTACTTTTTCAGTTTTAGCAATTTCGGCAAAGTCTGCAAGGGTATTAAAACTTCGGCTTGCCGAAGTTAGCTTCCGTCCTCGTTTTATCTTTGGGATTTGATCATACCTAAATACCATGATATTTTGGCTTTAGTTAAATTAATATAGGACATCTATTTCATATAGCTCCCATAGAAAAATAAAAAAAAATTCGGCTTGCCGAAGTTTGCTTCCTTTTTTTTTCATTCCATTAACAAGCAAACTTAGGTGTAAAACAAGAGAGAACGCTATAGTCGGGTGCCCCGACTATCAGATACCCGTTACTCAGGTAAAGGGAGTGCGAGGGAGATGGAGATAGAAACTTTGATCACGCATAACTTTTTAACGAATGGTCCGATTTGAAAAATTTCTTCAACATTTCGATAGGTATTGATAAACACAATAAAACTGCATTTTTACTTTTCCGAAATATTTAAATTTTTAAAATCGTATATAAGCGATTGTGGGCGTTAAAGGGGGCGTGGCACCTTTTTGAAACAACGTAGGAACTCCTAAAATCTACATGCAAAATGCCAATCTTCTAGATTTATAGTTTCCGACATCTCAGCGTTCATACGGACAGACAGACGGACAGACGGACAGACGGACAGACAGACGGACAGACGGACATGGCTAGATTGACTCGGCTAGTGATCCTGATCAAGAATATATATACTTTATAGGGTCGGAAACGCTTCCTTCTAGCTGTTACATACTTTTGCACGAATACAATATACCCTTTTACTCTACGAGTAACGGGTATAACTATCTGGATAAGACTTTCTCAAAAGCCGCTTTTCTACTGCTGGACCGATCGAACGGATAAATTAATTTTCACATATTAAGATTTAATCAAATCAGACTAATCAGACGACTTTCTAGGAAAGTTCGGAATATGATTAAGAAAATAATAGGAACATAGTTTTTTTGACTTATACTACTGTGGGCAAAAAGTAAGGTGAATTTTCCATTTTAAATTCGCGGGCTTATGATGGCGGACTAGTTCTTTTTTTCTTGAGTTGGCAGGACTGTTGATGACATCTGGCGGTAATTTCATGTCAATGTCAGTATCAGTACTATATTTACGCTTGTGTTTACCAAACGATCAAGAGTGCATTTGTCGATTTTTACAATGTCTGATTTAATTGAGCAGAGAATTGCCATTAAACTTTGTTTGCGGAATGAAATTTCGGCTGCGGAAACGTTGAGGATGTTGCCGAAGGCCTTTGGTGATTCTACCATGACCCAGAAAAATGTTTATAAGTGGTACAAAGACTTCAAAGAGGGTCGGGAACGTGTTGATGACTTGGAGCGCTCCGGACGATCATCGACGTCAACAGATGACCAACACGTCAATGAAGTGAAGGAATTAGTGCTCAAAAATCGTCGGTTGACTATCAGAAGGATCTGTGAAAACCATTTTGAAAGACCATTTGGGACGAGGGCGATCATGGCTATACCGGAAAGGGACTATTTGGCCTGTTTCGAGGATTTGAAAAAATGTTGGCATAATTTTTTTTATCGGGAGGGAATTACTTTGAAGGGGATGAAATTGATTCAGGAGAATAAATAAAGAATTTTCACTTTACAAACAAATTCACCTTACTTTTTGCCCACAGTAGTATGCAAATATGCTGAAATACAGTTACTTTTTCGATTTCAAAAATTTAAAAAATACGATTAACTATATTATGTAGCTTTCATTGGCACGATCAAATATTAGACATAAACATATAAAACATATTTGAATACAAATTGATATATATAACCGATTTATTGAAAAATACTTTTTTGTAAAGATGCAAGAGTATAAAAACACTGAATTGGAAAAGTTAGCGAGACTTACTTAATTACTTCAATGAATCTCTTAATTTACTTTACTTGGCAACTCGATGCTTTATTAATTCAATTGTAGCTCGTCTTTAATTCCTAGTAATAATATAAAGAACAAAATTCCGACCTATATCTAATCAATCAAAGGATCCCGACCATCGTGTGCCGATATAACCAATAAGTCTGACCTTATCAGCTGCACGTAAAACTTGAAATAATCTAGAATTAATAGATTACCTCTAGCCCGACAGGTAGTTCCTCACTTGGGGATGACGTCACGTACCTGTTATCGGCTATTTCCGCAATGAATATGGGCAACACAACATAGCAGCCGCCTCCCGACATCCCCGCCAGAAATCGTCCAGCATAAAGATACGTAACGTCTTGGGCGACATAGATTAGGATCCAGTACATCTGTGGAATTCAAAACATCATGGTAAAATGACTCAAGCATCTGGGAAACCCCTTTATAATAAATAAAACTTTATCTACCATATTGGGTATGGCCAGGAAATACATGCACAGTTTACGGCCCAAACGATCGAGTAGCAGTCCAAAGATTATATTTCCAGTCAGCGAGCCTAGGCCGATTAGTGATCCAACCCTAACAATATCAACTCATTTTACCGAAATACTCCCATGAATCCGGGTATGGACTTACCAGGATGCTTCGGTGATGGTCAGTGGATCTCCAAGGGGACTTTCCGCGGAACCGAGAAGTCGAAGAGAGGGCGACAACCATCCCACGGAAATTCCGTGGGTCAGCGTCATGATGTGGACTGGGAATTATAATTTTGATTACATGGAATAGCCCACCGAAATCCCACCTACCCGTCATGGTGGCAATAAATTGCCATCGGTACCGCGCACTAAAAACACTCAACTTCTGCGGTTGACTTGAATCAAACGTCATTTTGGCTGCTTTATTGATTAAGATTTTTAAAAGTACCCCGCTTTTGGTTTAGGAATTAACCGCTGGGCAGTCGCGCGCCTACTGAAAGTTTTTACTTTGGCTGGCGATCGTTTTTGTAGTGCAAATCACGTCGAGATACGTATATACTTCCCAATCTTCCCAGGATTGTAAACAAAAATGACGATTATAAAATTGTTGCAGATTAGATAAGTATTAAGTAGTCGCAAAGCTTTTACCGCTCATTAATGCACTACAGTTTGGTTTCAAGAGGTCTGTAGAAAGAAGTCTGTAAATTTGGTTGCAAAAAATGTATTTGTAAACAACAAAGCCCTTGACACCCAGACTTATTTTTTTGATCTTTTTGGATGGAAGCAATAGGCTATGTAAATTTAAATAACTTTCCATGACTTAAGTGACAACATTCAGTTAAGATAAGCTAAGTTAATGTTAATAAAAGATTGAAAAAAGTTAGTTTTTATTAACGTATTTTGCACTTACATGTTTATGATAATTTGTTTAATTTCTACATTTAAGTACAATTCACTTTTAATTTTAATAAAATTTCTTTTATCCAGAGGAATATCGTAGCATAGGAGTATGTTATCTAATTATATAAAATTGTCAACAAAAAAAGTAAAAGAGGTTGAAGATTATGACATCAATAAAGCAGATTTCATGTGGCCTTGAAATTTTTTCTCGCAGATATTCAACATTGTTCCCACTTATTACTTGGTAATAGTTTTTCAAACATTAGGTCATGATGGGTCAACTTCGCAATTTTTATCTCTTATCTGATCACCGTGAATTCGACATGGAACACTTGACTGCTATTAACCCATTAGTGGGTCATACTTCTTCCTTTTGTCTCAGGCAAAAATGTACCCATCAATATAAACCCCAAAAAACAGAAGCCCGCCGACATGTACATTGTGACATCAACTCCATACTCGTTGATTACGACGGGATAAGTCATGAGCGCCACAAATACAGAGCAACTGAGTCCGCACATGCTGATGGAGGCGCCAGGAGCACGGATCTGGGAAATTGTGACGCCTTAGCCAAGACCTTTGACCCAAAGCCAAAGCTTACCTTCACTGGCAGCAGCTCGACGATAAGGACGAAGGTCAGAGCGATCAGTCCGGCGGATGACGTGTAGGCTACAAAGCACATCAGAACCAGCCCAAGCCAGCCATGATGGTCCAGAAAGTGCGGCGAGGCAAAGGATTTAAGCAGGCCCACGCTCAGCTCACCCAGGCCCATTAAAGCCAGCGAGGGCATCAGCAGCCATCGGCGACCCACTCGATCCACCAGGAGGACGGCGCTTGCTAGGCCAAAAAGCTGCACAACACCCAGGACAATGGCACATATATTTGGCTCCATCGTGCTTCCGAGCTCTGTGAAGATGGTCGACGCGTAGTTGAAGATGGCAAAGGTCCCCGACATCTGATTGCAAATCAGCAAAACGGCGATTAGGCCAAACGCCTTCATCGATACCTTGTTAACTGCATTAAAGAAAACAATAAGTAGAAACAGTAAAGAAAAAATGTCTGTACTGATATTCAAATACGTGTTTTTAGATCTAAAAAATGTCTACCTAACAGAACGAACCATGATGGATATTTGTATATGCTTAAACTAATATTAAATGAATAGGGCTGTAACAAAACATTTTTAATATTATTATCTCACTTACAGAAATCTTGGAATGTAATCTTTTCTTTAACACCGCCGCTTAGGACTCTTTCCCGAAAACTGTTGAATTCCGCTTTGTTTTCGTTCTGTTTAGTCGGATCTTTTGTAAGATTCTTGTAGAAGTAGTAGGACTTCTCGGCCTTTTCATCGCGGCCACGTCTCAGCAAATCATGTGGAGGCTCGGGAAGCGGAATGATGAGAATCACATAGAGAATGGGCAGGACTATGACGATGCAAGGTAGAACATGATAGGTGGTGTAAAAAACCAATACAAATCCTACTGTAATGCCACCGCAGAGAGTCAGCATAAAAAATGACGTAAAAGTGCCCCGAACGCTAAAGGAAAAATGGGAAATTATTCTTTAAGCGTCTTCAAAATGTATTTAGTTGTTATTTTGCTTACTGTAACTAATTGTAAAGTAGCTATAACAAGAAAGGAAAGCTAACTTCGGGCGGAGCCGAAGTTGATATACCCTTGCAGAATACTCTGTAAATTATATTCTCCAAAATTATTCATATGATGCATTCTTAATACTCATAAAAAATCCGAACTTCCTAGCTTTAACAACAACAAAGTTATGGCATTTCCAATCGTTCAGTTATATGGTAGCTATAGGATATAGTCCGCCGATTCTTATGAAATTTGGTAGGTCGGATTGATTGGCCAAATATAACACCCACAGAAAATCCCAAATTCCTAACTTTACAAACACCAAAGTTATGGCATTTCCGATCAATCAGTTATATGGCAGCTATAGGATATAGTCGGCCGATCCTTATGAAATTTGGTAGGTCGGATTGATTGGCCAAAAATAAAATCCATAGAAAATCCCAACTTCCTAACTTAACAAACACCAAAGTTATGGCATTTCCGATCAATCAGTTATATGGCAGCTATAGGATATAGTCGGCCGATCCTTATGAAATTTGGTGGGTCGGATTGATTGGCCAAATATAAAACCCATAGAAAATCCCAACTTTCTAACTTTACAAACACCAAAGTTATGGCATTTCCGATCAATCAGTTATATGGCAGCTATAGGATATAGTCGGCCGATCCTTATGAAATTTGGTAGGTCGGATTGATTGGCCAAATATAAAACCCATAGAAAATCCCAACTTTCTAACTTTACAAACACCAAAGTTATGGCATTTCCGATCAATCAGTTATATGGCAGCTATAGGATATAGTCGGCCGATCCTTATGAAATTTGGTAGGTCGGATTGATTGGCCAAATATAAAACCCATAGAAAATCCCAACTTCCTAACTTTACAAACACGAAAGTTATGGCATTTCCGATCAATCAGTTATATGGCAGCTATAGGATATAGTCGGCCGATCCCGGCCGTTCCGACTTATATACTGCGTGCAAAGGAAAGAAGGGTGTGTGCAAAGTTTCAATCCGATAGCTTTAAAACTGAGAGACTAGTTTGCGTAGAAACAGACAGACGGACAGACGGACAGACGGACAGACGGACAGACGGACAGACGGACATGGCTATATCAACTCAGGAGGTGATCCTGATCAAGAATATATATACTTTATAGGGTCGGAGATGTCTCCTTCACTGCGTTGCACACTTTTGACCAAAATTATAATACCCTCTGCAAGGGTATAAAAATAGAATAAACAAGAAAGGAAAGCTAACTTCGGACGGAGCCGAAGTTGATATACCCTTGCAGAATATTCTGTAAATTATATTCTTCAAAATTATTCATATGATGTATTCTTAATACTCAGAAAAAGTCCCAACTTCCTAACTTTAAAAACACCAAAGTTATGGCATTTCCGATCGTTCAGTTATATGGCAGCTATATGATATAGTGGCCCGATCCGGCTCGTTCCGACTTATATACTACCTGCAATAGAAAGACAACTTTTGGGAAAGTTTCAAGCAGATAGCTTTAAAACTGAGGGACTAGTTTGCGTAGAAACGGACGGACGGACAGACGGACGGACAGACGGACGGACAGACGGACAGACGGACAGACGGACATGGCTAGATCGACTCTCCTGGTGATGCTGATCAAGAATATATATACTTTATAGGGTCGGAAATGTCTCCTTCACTGCGTTGCAAACTTTTGACTGAAATTATAATACCCTCTGCAAGGGTATAATAAGTTTTAATTCTGCAATAGTAATCCCCAACAAGAGCACTTACACTATCAAAAGTCTTGAGATGAACTTAGTAATTACATTAATTGACTTTACTTAGTGTACTGTAACAACTGTTTTTGTATAGCTTTTGTGATGCCAATATTTGCTTTCTGTAATTATAGGTAACATTCTTTGTAACATTTTGTTGTCGGTTGGAAAATTTCAGCTATAAATTTTGATTGCATATAGTGTAAAACGGTTTACTGATGGTTTCAGATAGTTTTCTGACCACTTAACCAATAGATTTTTTGTATGTAACATGTTTTGTTGCACTGTGTTATTTTGAACAAGAAAGGAAAGCTAACTTCGGGCGGAGCCGAAGTTGATATACCCTTGCAGAATATTATGTACATTATATTCTCCAAAATTATTCATATGATGCATTCTTAATACTCATAACAAATCCCAACTTCCTAACTTTACAAACACCAATGTTATGGCATTTCCGATCAATCAGTTATATGGCAGCTATAGGATATAGTCGGCCGATCCTTATGTAATTTGGTAGGTCGGATTGATTGGCCAAATATAAAACCCATAGGAAATTCCAGCTTCCTAACTTTACAAACATCAAAGTTATGGCATTTCCGATCAATCAGTTATATGGCAGCTATAGGATATAGTCGGCCGATCCCGGCCGTTCCGACATATATACTGCGTGCAAAGGAAAGAAGAGTGTGTGCAAAGTTTCAGTTCGATATCTTTAAAACTGAGAGACTAGTTTGCGTAGAAACAGACAGACGGACAGACAGACGGACATGGCTATATCAACTCAGGAGGTGATGCTGATCAAGAATATATATACTTTATAGGGTCGGAGATGTCTCCTTCACTGCGTTGCACACTTTTGACCAAAATTATAATACCCTCCGCAAGGGTATAATGAAATATACCATCTCATCTTCAATGGCAGAGATCTAAATATTTGCAATTATCGGTCACAGCTATTTCTTGGGTTACAATACCTATTGTCAGAAATTTCCGCGATGAATATAGGAAAGGAAACCACAAGAGTGCCACCAGAAATTCCCAACAAAATACGAGCCACATATAAATATATCGAGTTGCGTGCTATGTAGATTAGGATCCAGTTCATCTGCGAAAAAAATAAAGACTGAACCTTAGGGAATTAGGCCTCGGGAAATACCCTAACACCTAGGTGGAAACTTATCTACCACATTGGGTAACGCCACGAAGTACATGCACTTCTTTATTCCAACAAATCCAATCGGAAACCAAATAATCATGTTGCAAATCAGAGAGCCAACTGCAAGCATGGAACCGATCCTGTAATCTCACATTAAATTAAAATTTAAGTTTACCATTTTCATTTTAAACATACCACATCACATCATTTATGTTAACGGATTCACCAATTGGACTCTCGTCCGATTGGAGGATGGGCAAAGAGGGAGAGAACCATCCCAATGATATTCCATGAGTCGTTGACATAATGCACACTACGTTAAAGTATCTTGCTTTAGTGTTTGATCAATTGGACCTCCATATTCTTACCCACGTGCCAAAGTGGAACACAACTGCCAGCGGACGCGTTTGCCACAGATATCCATTATTCTCCGACTGACTGGACCCAAAAGTCATCCTATTCTAAATGTACGGCAGAATACATTTCTTCGTTGTCACATAGATTGGATTGGCAACGGATCGAAGGCCTGTTAGACCCTTAAACTAGGATTCAACAACTCTGGTCATCGTAGACGATCTACCAATTTTTACTGTCTGATTTATTTATTTTTGATTGTTACGACAAAGTATATATCATAAATTTAATGTTCGAAGCACATTATCGATTTAAATTGGACAGTTGGCACTTGTCTATTAAAAGTCTTCTTTTTGTTTATACTACAAATTGCTTACATTTATATATATATGTATGTTTTATATATATATATGTTTTATAAATGTTTTTTGTTTGTGATTTTTGGTTCCTAAGGGAGGAGAAACACATTCAGAGTTATATTACGAACGCAGATTAAATCTACTTTTATCTTATGTTCACTCATAACACAAACGGCAACAAAGTGGATGAGGAAATGCTCTACTCATGGAGATTATGTACTTGGATACACAAATAATAAAGTCATGAAATTCGCGGAACTGTGTATATTTTATCTCTCAACAATTAGGTACCACAGAGATATTATCAAAAAAAGCAAGCAAGGCAATCAACCAGCATGACAACAAGTTAATGCTGAGTGGGGGAGAATTTCTTCCCGAGACAAGCATCGGTTTATCGGGGCCCGATCGGCGATCGTGTCACAATAAATGATTTTCCTATGATCAAGTTATTATCTGCAGTTCCTGGCCCCACTCAGGCAGTCGGTCTCTCATCGGCTGTCCCGTCTGGCCGCTTATATCGATCGATAATGAGGGGTTCCTGTGCTACCAGCTCGCCAACTTTCGGCCGCGGCTTACATAAATCTCAGTTGCATTTTAATGCACAAAAACGGCCCATCGTGATACCTTTGGAGACTCCGTCGCCGTCGTTGGTTTTCGTGGCTGGGGCTCTGCACGGTCGGAGGTCATGCCCTGCGGTTTGCTGTGCCGTTTGTAAAATGCTCAATAAAAAATATCAAATTTTTGTGTGTCATTTGCATCTGGCTGTGATTCACGGCAAGCCGTGACCATATTATAACCCAGTCTGGCACTTTGACACAGCCGAGGCAATAAGTACCCATGTATTCGCTTCTTTGGTGGCCAGCCCGCTTGTCTTTTATCATTAGCACACAATTGTTTACTAAGTTCGAATGCTAAGATATCACTTTCGTTTGTTCAGCAGTCAGGGAGATAAATTGCGCACCAAAAGCGCAGACAAGCTCGGGATTTTAGATTTCAGTCATCAACATCACTTTTCACGTTTCTGGTTTTGTTAACATTCCGGATTGATGATGCACTTTATACGGGTAAATGTTGAGATCTATTCTTTCCAACAGGTTAGTTAACTAACCTTATTGTATTGCCGATTCACTTTAATTTATTTGTGTATTAAACAAAAGATTTCGTCTTTTAAATGTTTTAAGAAAAACATAAATTGTCATAAACAGCTTTGAACTCAGTTATATTGCGGTTGCTGTCGATTTTTTGGATGGGTCAATATATTCTGTCAAAAGAATAATTTGCTAAGGCAAACCTATTTTTAACAAGATTTGAAACGTATTTTTTTGTTCGATTGAATTATAGAAAAATAACAAAAAAAAAAACTATATTTATATACAAAATTGGGGCATCTTGACACTTATGCAAAGCTTTATTTTTTCTTATTTTTAATTTTGTACACCGATTTCATGTTTCTTTCCTTTTCTTTATCAAATACTAATATCAAAATATTAATATGAAATATTGTATGTAGATCAGTATTTCCATATCTTCCGCTAACCCAATGATAAAAAATACCTATGCTATAGTATGCTTCAAGGATTTCGAGTCATTAAAGTTATGAATAGGAAAATGTAAATTAAATTATATTTGAAAAGAAACATTTATCAAAGCTACCGAAAACCAAAACCGAGCATTAATCACGGGGCTATCTTCACGACTGATCTAGACAAATGTGGGTCGACTGAAAGAAATTTCAAAAATCAGCCTCATCCACAACATTAAACATAACTTCAGTGAATTCTCGTTTGAAAAAAGCCCTAGAATGTGAGCAAATTAAGCAAAGAAAAAACCAATGCCATGCCTATATATCAGCCAGAGATTCCCAAAACAGTGAACAATTAAATCAGCAAATTGTGGCTGCTGCGTTGGTCCAAGAAAAAAGCGGCTTATGCCGCAAGTCGAATGAATGACGGCATGAATGAATGAGTAATTGAAGGCAGCGAGTGTTGTTCTCAGGCTGCGAGCACGTTGACATAGTGCCGTGTGTGGGTGTATCAGTCGGGGTATCTGGCAGATACCTTTGGTGGCCCAGCATGACTGAGACCGAGAAGATCGGGCCCCTAGCTCCATGGAGAAAATCGCACGTTTCTATGCAAATCTTCTTCGCTTTTCAATCATCTACACGACTAGGCCATGGCGGCTTCTGCTCTTTTTCGGGGCTTCTTTCGGTGGTTGTCCGGAGACGTTTTTGGGGGCCTGTAGGCAATAATTATCGCTTGCATTACGTATTTCGGCTGCTTCTCGCTTTTGTTTTCGGCTCGGCGACTGTGTGGCAACCTAACTGGGTTGGCATAGAAAACGGGCGTTAAAATTAAGGGGAGTTAAATGGTTTTTCAATTCACAAAAGACAACGGCAACGCCGCGATTGCATGAGGGCCCACCATCCATGCTTCTGTGATGGATAGTTTGGGGTTAAATATAGGCTAGATGGCTTCTTAGATACTTCTACAATGATTTGACACTTTGGCCGGTCTCTCGGCTTTACCCACCGAATTCGAATTCACTTTTCAACAAAATGGAAAAACGACCTTTTAAGGTTGTTGCTCAATGTTCACAGCTTCACTAAGGGAGTGTTCAAATGTATGTGTACTTTAAACGTTTAGCTAAGCATTATGTGTCAATGTTGAGATCCTTCATTGACCTCAAGGGTGTTTTTTATTCAAAATTAATAATTTGCATGATTATTTTTATTCAGTTATGTGAATTTTGTTTTAAATTTAGTTTAATAAGAATTAGGCCCCAATAAAATAACATTTATGGGAGAAGATTGAGGCCTAATAAGATGCATCAAATAATACTTTTTATTGCTTGCAAATCGTTTATAAGTTATCAATTGAGCAATTCATTATGATTGCATGCAGCCCGCTATGCCATTGTTAATGAGAAAAGCTGCAGACTCAAAGTCATTTGCATGAGGCAGACAACAAAACATTGTCAATATCTTTTAATGAAAGGAACTGCAATAACCAGAACCAACTCGCCATTAAAGTCACGTTAAGCTGGCAGAAGCGCCAACTGGCGGGTCATTACGACCATCACTTCTGATTTTTATACCCTTGCAGAGGGTATTATAATTTTGGTCAAAAGTGTGCAACGCAGTGAAGGAGACATCTCCGACCATATAAAGTATATATATTCTTGATCAGGATCACCTCCTGAGTTGATATAGCCATGTCCGTCTGTCCGTCTGTCCGTCTGTCCGTCTGTCCGTCTGTCCGTCTGTCTGTCCGTCTGTCTGTTTCTACGCGAACTAGTCTCTCAGTTTTAAAGATATCGAATTGAAACTTTGCACACACCCTTCTTTCCTTTGCACGCAGTATATAAGTCGGAACGGCCGGGATCGGCCGACTATATCCTATAGCTGCCATATAACTGAACGATCGGAAATGCCATAACTTTGGTGTTTTTAAAGTTAGGAAGTTGGGATTTTCTATGGGTTTTACATTTGGCCAATAAATTTTACGTACCAAATTTTATAAGGATCGGCCGACTATATCCTATAGCTGCCATATAACTGAACGATCGGAAATGCCGCAACTTTGGTGTTTGTAAAGTTAGAAAGTTGGGATTTTCTATGGGTTTTACATTTGGCCAATCAATTTGACGTACCAAATTTTATAAGGATCGGCCGACTATATCCTATAGCTGCCATATAACTGATTGATCGGAAATGACATAACTTTGGTGTTTGTAAAGTTAGGAAGTTGGGATTTTCTATGGGTTTTATTTTTGGCCAATCAATCCGACCTACCAAACTTCATAAGGATCGGCCGACTATATCTTATAGCTGCCATATAACTGAACGATTGGAAATGCCATAACTTTGGTGTTTTTAAAGTTAGGAAGTTGGGATTTTATATGAGTATTTAGAATGCATCATATGAATAATTTTGGAGAATATAATTTACAGAGTATTCTGCAAGGGTATATCAACTTCGGCTCCGCCCGAAGTTAGCTTTCCTTTCTTGTTTAGAATACAATGTTAATTTTACATGAACCGCAGCAATTGGCGATGATCCAATGCTGGATAGCTACTGCTGGCTACGCGATGCCCCATGGCTGGAGATTCGTGGGAATATTTGCGGCTGCCATTATTTGAGCATTTTGCTACACCGAATCCATAATCGCAGGCGCAATGAATCGGCATCTGCATCTGGCTTCGTGTGCAGAAGGAAGAAGTAGTCGCTGCCGAGCCAGAGAGACGCAGATAAACCCATCCAAAATCAAACAACAATATTATGCAACCAGGAGTTGCTGGGCCTCGACGACGCTGCCCCAAAATCATAATAAAATCTGTCCACTGTCAACTCTTCAGCTGTCTTCCCTTTTGCTCCATTGTCTGGCGACTCGTAAGAAAATAGAAGCAGAGAAACCAGCCAAGAAACAAGAAACGCCTCAAGTCAAAAAGTCGTCACTGCGGGCATTTCAAATCTTTAATTTGCGATTTTGTTTGTTATGTCTTCCACGAGCGATCGAGCCATCGACCAGCTCATCGCCGACGTCCCACCGTCCACTTTGGACCCCTGGTCTTAGTCTCAAAAACCCTGCAAGTGCTTCCCCCATCATTAAAGGTTGATGGATTTTCAAGCTGTCATCTTGCTGATTGACAGAAATCGATTTCAATTGAATGTTCTCAGAAATTAATGCAAATTATGAGAAATAGTGCAAAGGAGGTTGATTTTGTTTAATTATCAACCGTTAATGATGAATAAAGACATCGACAAAAAAGGATAAGATTGAAGATGTGCACATATATACATTTTCAAGAAGATTCTTCTGAGAATTTTTAGAGAATTGAAAGTTTATTAAAGTAAGAAAAAAACAAGAAAGGAAAGCTAACTTCGGGCGGAGCCGAAGTTGATATACCCTTGCAGAATACTCTGTAAATTATATTCTCCAAAATTATTCATATGATGCATTCTTAATACTCATAAAAAATCCGAACTTCCTAACTTTAACAACAACAAAGTTATGGCATTTCCAATCGTTCAGTTATATGGCAGCTATAGGATATAGTCGGCCGATCCTTATGAAATTTGATAGGTCGGATTGATTGGCCAAAAATAAAATCCATAGAAAATCCCAACTTCCTAACTTTACAAACACCAAAGTTATGGCATTTCCGATCAATCAGTTATATGGCAGCTATAGTATATAGTCGGCCGATCCTTATGAAATTTGGTAGGTCGGATTGATTGGCCAAAAATAAAATCCATAGGAAGTCCCAACTTCCTAACTTAACAAACACCAAAGTTATGGCATTTCCGATCAACCAGTTATATGGCAGCTATAGGATATAGTCGGCCGATCCTTATGAAATTTGGTAGGTCGGATTGATTAGCCAAATATAAAACCCATAGAAAATCCCAACTTTCTAACTTTACAAACACCAAAGTTATGGCATTTCCGATCAATCAGTTATATGGCAGCTATAGGATATAGTCGGCCGATCCTTATGAAATTTGGTAGGTCGGATTGATTGGCCAAATATAAAACCCATAGAAAATCCCAACTTCCTAACTTTACAAACACGAAAGTTATGGCATTTCCGATCAATCAGTTATATGGCAGCTATAGGATATAGTCGGCCGATCCCGGCCGTTCCGACTTATATACTGCGTGCAAAGGAAAGAAGGGTGTGTGCAAAGTTTCAAGCCGATAGCTTTAAAACTGAGAGACTAGTTTGCGTAGAAACAGACAGACGGACAGACAGACGGACAGACGGACAGACGGACAGACGGACAGACGGACAGACGGACATGGCTATATCAACTCAGGAGGTGATCCTGATCAAGAATATATATACTTTATAGGGTCGGAGATGTCTCCTTCACTGCGTTGCACACTTTTGACCAAAATTATAATACCCTCTGCAAGGGTATAATGAATTGCTTTGCAAAGATAGAACTTTTCGGCTTTACTAAACATTTCATTATTTCGAATATTAGATATTATTAAGATTAAGCTTTTTAAGGAATATGGTTTTAATACAAAGATCTCAAATAAATTATGAAATCGATTTGATTCTTTGATCTATATTAATGTATAGTAATTTTAATAGAATGTTCTGCATCACGAGTGCAGAAGCGATTACTATATGTTGCATAGGGGCAAAAATAAAATATCGTTTAGTTAATCCGATTCAAAAAATTTGATAACAATGTGTATAATTTCAACTAAAAGTAGTGCATTAGAAGTCTTTGAACAATTAATTGAGATATATGCGTCAAACGACGAGTCCAAGACTCAGTTCAAAAGTTATTCAATAAAACATAATTGAATGAACATACCAAAATGAAAACTTAAGATGCTCTGTTATACCCTTGCAGAGGGTATTATAATTTTGGTCAAAAGTGTGCAACGCAATGAAGGAGACATCTCCGACCCCATAAAGTATATTAGTCTTGATCAGGATCGCGTCCGGTGTTGATATAAGCGTCAGTTTTAAAGATATCGAATTGAAACTTAGCACACACCCTTCTTTCCTTTGCACGCAGTATATAGGTCGGAACGGCCGGGATCGGCCGACTATATCATATAGCTGCCATACAACTCATTGATCGGAAATGCCATAACTTTGGTTTTTGTAAAGTTAGGAAGTTGGGATTTTCTATGGGTTTTATTTTCAATCAATTTTACTTACCAAATTTCATAGGGATCGGCCGACTATATCCTATAGCTGCCATATAACTGAACGATCGGAAATGCCATAACTTTGGTGTTTGTTATCTATGGGTTTTATTTTTGGCCAATCAATCCGACCTACCAAATTTTATAAGGATCGGCCGACTATATTCTATAGCCGCCATATAACTTATTGATCGGAAATGCAATAACTTTGGTGTTTGTTAAGTTAGGAAGTTGGGATTTTTTATGAGTATTAAGAATGCATCATATGAATAGTTTTGGAGAATATAATTTACAGAATATTCTGCAAGGGTATATCAACTTCGGCTTCGTCCGAATTTAGCTTTTCTTTCTTGTTTTTAATTTGTCTTAATACAAAATGCCCCAGTTTATGAAAAACATTTCTTAAAAAAGTAGTACACCGGATGGTATGTTTCCTTGTTCGGATGTTTAATCATTTTTCGTCACAAAATTTGATATCAGAAATTAAGTGGTCACAAATTTTTAAGCTATAAAAGGTTTTTTGTGTGATTTTCATTCTTGTAGGTATTTTAAAAACGTAGATTGCTCCTTAAATATATATTTAAGAGTTAAATAAGTGTATATTTGTAAGTGTTTATAAATTAAAGACTGATGTGGAAAAAGCATGATCGGAAATCTCACACTTAAGATACACTGATTACATTCCTAAGATATCAGTTAGGAACGTAACAGATACGTTTGCCCAACAGAAATGTTAAGTTTTCCTCATCGATGGGGCTCTGTTAAATTGTCTGGGACCCGAAGACCTGTGCTGTGGTCTTCGGCCTGTCCGCCCCTCTCTGGATCGCCGCGATCAGCTGATCGCGAGACCGGTTGTAAAGACACTTTGCTTTTGCTTGCCTTTTCTGCTGCTTTTGGGTTTTGGCCAGTCTTCGGGCTTCTTTGGGAATTGAGGAAGATGTGGCAGCGATCTTCGCTTGGCGGTAAGTTCGTCCGGATCGTCGACGACGAATGGCTTTGCTTTTGCTGTGTTTGCGGTGGCTTTGCGAGCGTTTTCGCTAAACAGAGTTTCGAGTCTGCGGCCCGCTCAACTACTAAAGTTGGATGCCGCATTTGCCAATTGAAACATTCAAATGTGAATATCGTACGGGTGAAGACGTCTTCTGTTCGTCTGGCTCTGGCTCTTACTGTATTTTCATACCAATCTGATGTGATACATTTAATAAAAATAAAGTGCTCTTGGTGCTCAATACTTCAGACTTTTGTGAACTCGAAATGGAATTTTTTAAGGAGCAAAACTATTTTAAGGAGCAATTGTGAATCAGTTTTAAAGCATCAATGACTTTAATTTAGTTTTCTAGGACAAATCGTGAACAAGTTAAATCAATGATTTAAAATTTTGGAAATACAAAAAACAAGATCATTTTACGCTTGAGTCTGCAGTTTACTTATTTAATTTATATTTTCCTAAAAAGCATTTGAACTTGGCCCAAACCTTGCGTCAATATTTGTACTAATTCACTTATTTGCTTTGCAATTACCAAACTTATGTTTCGACTTAATGACATCTTTCTTATGCAGACATGAGCAGCTTGAAGTGATTTTGTGCTACCTCCAAAAACATCAACTAAATCGTATAATCTGTGCATTACAACCTGATCCCTCTCTAGCCCATAACAAATAACAACCGAATAATCGAGCACAGTGAGACAACATAAACAACAATAACGTATAATATGCAGCAATCTAAGTAATATTCACAAGAAAAACGAAAACAACAAAACGCTACAAGTAACCCAGTCGGAGAGCGGAAAACTTTGTCATAAATAAGTTTACGGCGAAACCTCTATATTACTTCAATCACGAAACTGAAAGCAAAAAAGGAAGCTGTGGAAGATTGAGTTGCTGCCACAGTTAGTTGCCTGACTTACCCGAGTGTTACTGCTCCACAAACTGACATTCAATGATGCTGATGCTTAAAGGTGAGTGAGCTGAGAATACTTAGCCGAGAATTTCGAATGCTCGATAGATCGACAGCGTCGAGGCTTCTAATAAAATGCCAAACGCTTTTCGTACGCATGAATGGATATAAAATGGTTATGTGTTCAAGTCGTTGCCTTTCACAAAGCATCATCTTACTTAGATTTATTGCATACATTTCCTACGTAATTTTATTACTGCTTTTGGCCAGTCAGCAAGCAAAAGATGCTGGTAAAATGTCAATGCGTTGGATGCATAATGTGGCCTCTTGTATGCTATGCGAGTTAACTTGCATTTTTACTAAGCTACCACAAAAATAGTAATTAAAATAAAAAGCAATCAAGTACCTTAACAATATTTTCAAATTACATTGCTTCTTAATGAATGCTTTTATTTCCTATCATAAGCACGAAGAATTAAACTAATTGATCTTTTTCATGCGCTTAATATTTTAGACAACCGTTCAATGCTCATTATGTTATGTAATTCCTGTACGATTTCTCAAATCTACGAATGAGTTAAAAACGGAGGAAATGACACTATTATCATTTAATTATTTTTTTTAGTACCCTTGAAAAACAGTTCTTAAGTTCAGTTCAGCCTCCATATGCATTCGATTATTAATCCATTAAACATAATAACTTCATCATTTTTGGATCTCTAGTAAATTCCATTAATTTATCAGTAGTAGTTTGATTTCTGGTATTTCAACCGTCCAATGTAAAAACAAATTAATTCTAGCCAAATTAAACGACGAACAATTTCCATAAATCTTCAATATGCCTTGGGTGACTCTTGGCTGATGATTAATTTGCAAATTGTTGGCTTGCTTAGATGAATAGATACAGCAATTAAAAGCCTCAAAATTGCCGGCATGCATTTCAATTTTTGTTAGGTTTCTAATTTTTACTGCATAAATTTAGTGTTGCAAAATTTGCAACCGCAATTCTTGCCTCGACTTGGCATTGTTATTAACGAATCTAAGATAATGCTGGCGGGTCTGAGCACACAGTTCAAGGATGAACGGCAGCGGTGGCTGCTTAAGTCAGAACAAACCCTTGGGAGGGGGCTGGGCCCAAAAAAGAAAAAAGACATTTGCAGCTGCAGCATTTTTGTGTTAGATAATTTCAATTGCTGCTCAGCCTGTGATTACTGGGCGAGCAACTCGGCCAGAGGGCCGCAGAAAGTAGTGCAGGAATTGGGAAATGGGCCTTAAATGTCAAGAGGTGCCACAGTTTTTTGCTTCTACAGTGCAGCCTCGTGGCGCAAATGAACAAAGGAAAGGCTGGAGAAAAGACAAATTTAGGCCAAATGTGTGACTTAACGTCTTTCACATCACACACACCCACACAGAGGTGGCTGGTGGGGGGATGGGAAAGGGAACCCCTGCTTTTGTTTTATGTGGCAGGAGGTTAAAGTTGACCGGGGAGACGAGCCGAAGGCAGGCGAAAATAAAACAAAACCAAGCCGGCTGCCTCAAATGTAACAAAATGCTACAATATAATTTTGCCCGTTGTTGTCTGCAGATGGCCAGATAAAAGTTCAAAATGCGAGTGGTTGTTGTTTAAGTCTTAGCCGGGTCTAGTTTTGCCAAGCTGGTCTGGTCTGGTCTGCTCTGCTCATTAACGTTGCCAGCGAAAGAAATGGCAAATAAATTAAAAAGTCATTCAAGCAACAATACCCAAAAGGAGGATTCCCCTCCAGCAACTAAGGCAGTGCTGTCTCAAATCGCCGTAGTCGTGTAGCTTGTATCCCATTCAAGTGTTGATGCGTTAACTGGCACTGCGTGCGCATCGCTGAAAAGCCAATGAGCCGCATCTGAGAGATACGAGTAAAAGTATCTAACGATTCCTTGTAGACAAAACAAAAACCTCACAATTGTTGTTGTTGCTCTAAGGTGCTTGCCCGGTGCTGTTTTTGTGGCCCGTCTTTAGTGATTAATGAAGTGTAAATAATGTTCATGTTTTGTATTTTTTTGCATTTTTTTTTACAAATCAAGATTTCAACATATTCTAGGCGGACCCACTGGGATTTTTTCTCTAGTTATTATAGCGATAATCATCATCATTTTTTTATAATTATAACAGTTCGGCAAGTGTCGCCCTGAGCGCTTATTTGTAGAGCCGAAAGACTTTGACAACGAACTTGCAACAGGCCAAAACTTTGAGGAAAAACGTCAATTTTTTTAGTCGTTGTTGTCGTCGGACTAAATGTCAGTAGAGTGCTCTTGAGCTATAAATAACCCATTTGTCAATCTTTTTCGTGCACATTTAGAAGACAAAAACCAACAAACTTGAACTTTTCAAAGGAATTGTGTGAATTTTGCTACGGTACTTTCCTGAGAGTGCTGAAGTGTTGCAATAAAATGATGTCTTTGACTTAGACACTTAACTATAATTTATCAAATTCATGCTGCATCAAGCTTTTTAAAATTATAGCTATTTACTAGCGTGCGTAAACCGTTCAATTACATCACAATTTTAAATATGATCATTATATACATTCAACAACTAAATGCCAGCACTCCGCTCGTTCATCAGACACACGTGCGTCGCGAATTGCGTAGCAATTGTCAGTCTTTTAATGGACCCCATCCACCCAGATATAGCCATAGCCGTTTCTAGCTTAATGTATGGCCAGCCAGTCGGCTAAATGTCAGGCCAAGATGCTGACCTCCATGGCCTGACATGCTATGTTTAGGCCATTTTAGGGCTGCCAGCTGAATGGCATTTTGATCTGCATGGTCTAAGGTGAACTTCATGGAGAAGAAGTTTCCAATTTGGACAGAGAGTTACACATAAACATTTTATAGACTTGAGTATTTTTTGGAAGCTCAACAAATCAGATCGTACTTCTTTGGGTGCAGAGCAACATTTTTAATTAGCACGAGTTGTTTTGCCACAAAAGCGTTCAAAATAACATTTGGTTTTAATACCTAATAATCTCAATTATCAATGTTCCCTCATTCATTTAGCCAACAATGAAAAAAGTTAGTCATAAAACGACGGAACAAGTTTTGCAAAGCGCTTTCTTTCTACGCATATTGTATTTATCTAATTTTCATATCTAGATAATTAATTCGTTATTTTACGTTTGCTTGCGAACCTGATTCCAGATTATTTGAATCACTTCTGTGTTTGTTTACCTCTTAGGCAGGATCTAATTCGGGCGAGTGACATCATTTGACTCGCGCTAAGGATGCGCATTTGATTCTTTAGCAATGACGACCGAAGAACAGGTTGTTGGTGGCTTCATGAATCATAAAAAACATACAAAAATTTGAAGACACTAATGGGTTTTTTATTTTCAAAAGGTGTCGGCCAAGGCTAGAATCTAAAACTGAAGTTCTCACTGCGAAATATTAAAAAACTGTTGTCGGTCAATAAATTGATGGCCACAAATAGTTCCCACTGGCATATTGCTATTAAAAACACTGCGTCCGTACCCTCGGGCATTCATAACAAATAAAAATAAGTAAGAATAATCGTTTATTGGGCACTACTTAAGAAGGCAACTCTCTTAAATTGGTATCAATATCAGACATCGATTCAACTCCGACGGCTGACAGCCAATTAAGACGCCTACCTCACATGCTTACCATTAAAAATCGACTTAATAAATCAAAGAAGTCAGAAACATATTCCGCATTTCATTCCTCGATATTGCTTGATATTTTCAAGCACAATCAAGCGCGCGAAGGCAACCAAATGACAAAAGCTTTCAACAGTCATAATCATGTTTGATACACAAAAACATCACGAAACAAGAAAGGAAAGCTAACTTCGGGCGGAGCCGAAGTTGAAATACCCTTGCAGAATATTCTGCAAATTATATTCTCCAAAATCATTCATAATGCATTCTTAATACTCATAAAAAATCCCAATTTCCTAACTTTAAAAACACTAAAGTTATGGCATTTCTAATCGTTCAGTTATATGGCAGTTATAGAATATAGTCGGCCGATCCTTATGAAATTTGATATGTCGGATTGATTAGGCAAAAATAAAACCCATAGAAAATCCCAACTTACTAACTTTACAAACACCAAAGTTATGGCATTTCCGATCAATCAGTTATATGGCAGCTATAAGATATAGTCGGCCGATCCTTATGAAATTTGGTACGTCGGATTGATTGGCCAAATATAAAACCCATAGAAAATCCCAACTTCCTAACTTTACAAACACCAAAGTTATGGCATTTCCGATCAATCAGTTATATGGCAGCTATAAGATATAGTCGGCCGATCCTTATGAAATTTGGTATGTCGGATTGATTGGCCAAATATAAAACCCATAGAAAATCCCAACTTCCTAACTTTACAAACACCAAAGTTATGGCATTTCCGATCAATCAGTTATATGGCAGCTATAAGATATAGTCGGCCGATCCTTATGAAATTTGGTACGTCGGATTGATTGGCCAAATATAAAACCCATAGAAAATCCCAACTTCCTAACTTTACAAACACCAAAGTTATGGCATTTCCGATCAATCAGTTATATGGCAGCTATAAGATATAGTCGGCCGATCCTTATGAAATTTGGTACGTCGGATTGATTGGCCAAATATAAAACCCATAGAAAGTCCCAACTTCCTAACCTAACAAACAGCAGAGTTATGGCATTTCCGATCAATCAGTTATATGGCAGCTATAGGATATAGTCGGCCGATCCCGGCCGTTCCGACTTATATACTGCGTGCAAAGGAAAGAAGGGTGTGTGCAAAGTTTCAATTCGATATCTTTAAAACTGAGAGACTAGTTCGCGTAGAAACAGACAGACGGACAGACAGACGGACAGACGGACAGACGGACAGACGGACAGACGGCCAGACGGACAGACGGACAGACGGACATGGCTATATCAACTCAGGAGGTGATCCTGATCAAGAATATATATACTTTATAGGGTCGGAGATGTCTCCTTCACTGCGTTGCACACTTTTGACCAAAATTATAATACCCTCTGCAAGGGTATAAAAAACTCTTTGATATTTTGGA